TGGGGATCTCCTCTTCCGTCATAACCTCAAAGGTTTGTCCCACGAGATCCTCGTCGTCAACCGCAACGTATATGATCTCTTCAGTCACCTCCTCGTATTCGACTCCTAGTTCTTTCACACAGTTTGAGAGAGGCCTCCGCTCCATCCGCGATGTTGGTTTGTTGTGCCGCTTACGATGCCGCCTCATGTCCGTCAGCTGTGTAAACCGCTTCTGACAAATGTCACATTCGTACGGTCGTTCGCCAGTGTGCACTCGCAAATGGGTCTTGAGAAAAAACGGCCTCGAGAACATCTTCCCACACACCGGACACTTGTGGTTCCTAATCCCAGTATGAATGGCCTGGTGTTGAATTAGGTTTGGTTTACACCTAAAAAATAACCATCTTTATTATTATCGTTGCCTGTGGTTTTAGATCAATTTATAATTCAGAGGTGACCAAAATTAGGAAAGAAGAATCGAATATAATAAATATTGGTTTTACTGCTCAGAAATAAAAAAAATAATCTACATAGATTTGCCTGCAAAAATTTGATTGGATTTAAACTATCACCATCTCTTTATTTAAATTTTTTTCCAATTTAACATTTTACAGGTTGACCTTGCAAATCTGTGTAAATGACTTCTGTTCATGTTCTTCCGGAAAACTGTTGCAAAAGTGACTTTTCATACTCTTTATTCTGAAATAACCTGCCATCATAATAACATTAGTTTAAATTTTTTAGCAAACCAAAAACTAGAAAAGATGCAGATTTGAATAAGTTAAGTTTAGCAAATATTTTATACATACACAACAGAAAAAGCATAAAAATGTTGCATTTGTAAATAGGAATACATGACAAGCAAAACATATTTAAAAAAAATTACAATTTGGTAAAGGATTCTAATATTATCAAACATATAATAATATTGTTCAACCTCAACATTGACAAAAAGGGGTGCTTCAGGATTTTGTGATTTAAGCTTGAATGTTGAAATGCAAATCACACTGCTAGCTACTTCCTAACAGCTAAGGAATAGTATATTTCGTACCTAGGGCCGAAAATGAGGTTTTGCCGGCTCGAGATAGTTTTTAAGTTCGAGACGAAGTCGAGAACTTAAATCGATCGAGAGCTGCAAAACCATTTCGGTCCGTGGTACGAACGCTATTTTTCACCACACTTTACACTATTACCACTATTCACCACTACAATGCACACTGATAGTCAACACAACTACAACTTTAAGGTTATGCGAAAAAATAATTTGAGGAATCAGCAAAAATAAAAATAAATAGTTGCTAGGCAACGGTGACAATAACACAATTCTATTGCAATGCTATGGATTTTGATTGTGTATTTAAAATGCATTATGTTTTAAGTAAGTAAGCGGACAGCTGATTTTGCGGCCCCGGCCTGTAAAAACCTGCTCGGTCCCCAAATTACGATGACAGCTGGCATGGCCAGCAAAACGTAACTTTCAGCCACCAAATAACGTATGTAATACAGCCAAAAACATCATAGTGTGGTGAAAAGTTTGATTTTAAGTTTCTGAGGTTTGATTATTGGGTTTCTAGTTAGTTATTCTGACTTATCAGCTGACAGTAGTCAACAACAATGCTACAAGTAAAGGCATTTCATCCATCCCAAACACACGTCAAATCTATTGTTTGATGTACAATAATCCTGGTGGGCCACACAGGAGGGACGATGGCTAACATAGTGTCAGCGTTCGTCGCTAGAACCGCTAAGTTGAAAAATTTAAATTAAGTATAAAACTAGTTGAACCCCGTCGAAATCGGCGGTTAATCTTGAGGTTTTATGTAAATTCAGCTAACTGCGTTGGATAGAGTGAAGTCAATAAAATCTTAGTTATATCGGTTTGTATTCATTGGTTATATGAAGGGAGGATAAGCAATAATAAGTATGACGATTGTGTTCCCTAAAAAACGTGATTGATGAATTCGTTTAACACAATATTTCCTACCTTTCTTTTTATCGGCTTTAGGTTGCCCAAAAGGTTTTTAGGAGTCTTATAATTGTTTGTTCATGAGTTTGTTTCATACCAAAGCCACTTTCACTATATGGGAGAATGAGTTCATATAATTAGTCTATCATGTTACGGAAAGAGTCAATATTTATTACTAACCACTAATTCCATCTGCTTTAGGAAAATCATTCAGATTGTATCCGGATTTATAAGTAAATCTTCATCCTTTTTTTTGATAAAAATATCTGATTCTCCAGAAAGCAGTAACATTCTTACTTCGTTCTCAGCAATTTTAAATCCTTCTCTTGCCACATCGACCCATGTAATCATCTTGTTCTTACTTGATAATTCATTAACTTATGGGGTAGTTTTGCCTTGGCCATATAGATCACATAAAGCTGTGCATGTATTTCGTGGATTGGAATGAACCATAATTGTAGGAAATTTTATCACAAATCTTGAACATTTGCGGAACCAACCAAATCGATAACCTAGTCCAGCATTGGTAACAAATTAAGCAAATGCGATGAGATGTGATGACACTGTTGTGTTTCCGAATGTTTTGTATGTAGTGAGGTTTAGATGCGTTGCTCAACCTAGCTACATGTGTACATTAAAGTAAAAACTGTGTACACATTTTTTTTTACCTGAATTGACATTAGTTACTTTACCAAAACCATAGACTCTGTAGTTAGTCTATTCCAAAACTTGAACACAGCTCTCATTCTCAACGTACTCATCTATGACACAATTTTCAACCCGATTATCAAAAACTGTTATTCCAATAAATGAATCTCAGGTGTTCTTTCTTGAATTTAAAAATAAATGGTGATTGAAAGTAGGAAAAAAAGGCAAGTGCCAACCTTACAATATGTATAAGCTAACCCAATAAGGAATAGTTATATGTTCCTTTGAAATTGATAAGTCACACTTATTTCATAATTTAAAATTTTCTAAGAGCAATAAAGCATAGATTTTTGAACAAAACATTTCAAACGTATCATAAATTCATCATTTTGTTGAAACTATAAAAAAAACTTGCCATGCAGTGGAGAATCCATTTAAAATCATAAATAATAATGTAAACATTTAATTTTGACAGTTTCAGTAGACCTTTGAATACAATTTTAATATTAACAGCTGGTTCATTAAAAGTACGGTAGTGTAAAATTATCCATATGGTCGAAATGTAAACAAAATTGCAGAGTGAACTTTAAAGGCCTCTGGGGCAGAGCCCCAAGGAAATTTACATTGTTTCTCTTTTGAGGGCTCACCTACAGACCAATACCTTTCTTTAGACACCCCTACCAAGTTTCTACGCCCAGCCGTTCTCTCAAATTAGCTGTGACAAAAACCTCGTTTTCCTCCATAAGAATAACATGGGATGGGAATTTAAAGGCCACTGGGGCAGAGCCCGGAGGGAATTCTCCATGTTTCTCTTTTGATGGCTCATCTACAGACCAGGACCTTTCTTTAGACACCTCTACCGAGTTTCTACGCCAAGCCGTTCTCTCAAAATAGCTGTCACAAAGAAAAACAGTTTCAAATTAATATATAGAGATTAAAATGCCATAACCTAACCTAACCAACCAAACTTGCTGATAAAAAATATTTAAGACAAAAATGAAATGAATGTTTAGGCCTACTTATAGTTTTTAATTAAAAAAAAATTTAAAATTTTGTATTATAAAATTAAACTGTCATAACCTAACCTAACCAACCAAACTTGCTGATACAGTAATATAAAAAGATATAAGATAAAAATCAAATAAAGCAAAATCTTTGACAAAAAGTTAATGTCGCCGGACGGGTTTGGAACCCGAGACCTCCAGATCTCTAGTCCGATGCGCTACCAACTATGCCACGAACACCGCTGGAATCACATCGTCTCGTTACGGTAATCGTGTTGCCTCAAGAGAAGACATTAGCCACTAGATATGACGTCACCACACCTTTAGCCATCGTCCCTCCCGTATGCCCATTCCCAATAATCCTATGACTATGCTGAGTCACCATTATATATATTTTACTCATACACATCCAACGACTGGCGTTATAGTTTTTGGGTACTCATTAATCGTGTTGGCCAAAACTAGAAATTCCTGAACAGTGAGAAATTTTCAGACGTTGAAATAAGATGTTTTTACTGAAATAGATTAATAGAAACAAGAAACACTATTGCATACTGTGTATATGATCAATAAATAAAAATTGCTCGTATACTATTCAACTGAGAAAAACTGTTATGAAAGATTTCACTCAATAATATAAAAAAGTTAACTATTATTAAATCTCTGCAGTGACTAGAGCACTGCAGGCTTCTGAACACTCAATGATCTATTGTCACATTCTCTCTTTTTCCACACTTGACTTTTGTCACAGGAGACAAAATATTATACATTTTAATTTTGTGTGTGTCCTTTGGCCTACCTTGAGTTTTCTAAAGTAAGGTACAGTAGACTCCCTCTTATCCAGACACCTTTTAACCGGACTACACTCAATGGAAATGACATCTCTTTAACCGGACAATTTTTATCAGCACATTGGTTTAACCGGACTAGATCGGCAGGAAATGTCCGGTACTGAAACGACTGTTTTCATGGGAAAGATTTGAGAGCAGTAATCACATGTCTAAATACAATGCTCTCCTAAATTTAAGTCGAATATCACCGTATACAGTCCGTTTTAACGAGTTTTTGGGGACGTCGGCTTAACCGGAAAACCCGTTATCCGGACTGGCCTCGGTCCCGAGGAGCCCGGATAAGAGGGAGTCTACTGTAGTTTGTATCCCTTTATTCTAAAAATGAAATCATGACCTAGAGCCTTTTGGTGAACAAAACTATGTACCGGTAATTTATTTGCCAGTATTTGATGGATGTTTGCATTTATTTGGCTTTGGCTTTTGCTGTACAAATTTAGTAATTATGTTTCATATTATGAATGACTTGCAATCTTAAATACCAACAGTGGAAATAAGAGAACTAATAAGGAAGTAAAAAAAAACTTTGTTTACTTAGCATAATTTATATTTTAAATAAGAAGTATTCATCCAGTATACTATCCAGAATGAAATAAATATATGTAATACAATCAAGTAATTTCAGGAGGAATATCTCGCATAAGCAACTATAAAACTACAAAGCATCTTCGCATTCATAAAACTCTTTTTGAAACATTAAAATCAGGTAAATATAAAAAATAAAAACATATTAAAATGACCCAAACACTACATTACAGTAAAAACGTTAAAATATTAAAACACACAGTGTTATTCATTAGTTTTATTTTTAAATTTAAAAATTAAAAGTCATTAAATGTATTTAAATTTCAGATTATGTAGTTTCCTTTTTACTTTCTGAGAATCATCGACTTAAGCTGGAACTACTTTTCTCCTAAAACCCCTGAACACCCTTTCAGTTGACGCACAGTGGATTCAGCCTCCAGCTCTGATACAACACATTCACACTTCTCGTACATTTGTTGTCTGCATTGTCTGTGACGGTGGCACTGTATGTGACTATAGGAAGATTCTATCCCCAGGTGAGCCTCTCCTAACAATGATGACCGTGGGTTGCACCTGCGCTGGTTGTGGTGGTGGTTGTCGCGCCTGTGACTGCGCCTCGTGCCTCCTCCGATGCCTCCGCATATCTCCCACTTGCGTGAATCTCTGTTCGCACACATCGCACTGATACGGCCTCTCGCCCGTGTGCGTTCTCATATGTGTCTTAAGGAAAAACGTACGAGAAAACATCTTGCCACAAACAGGACACGTGTGTTTGCGAACCCCAGTATGCTTAGCATGATGTTGAATAAGATTTGCTTTCGACCTAAAAAACAACGTACTGTTTTATTCTGGAGTGTGGGCTGGTAGGAATTATATACTAGGCCTAGGTAAGGTTCAAATTAAATGTCTCCACCTTGGTTTTGTTATTCTTTCTAAAATGTGGAAGAGGATTATTTGTGAAAGTAAGACTCCCTTTGTAACAAAAGGCATGGCCCAACCTTTTAATACGAGGCGTGGCTATAGAATAGCAGGACTGGTTTTCAAGAGACAATAGACGTGAGCCTCAAGGCCAAATGCCATATTGCCGTCTCGCCTGACATGCTCCCTCCACATTACGGCCAGTTCAACGACACATAGTTTGGCGATAGCCTTAGTTTGTGTCGCACCATACATTTTCCAGTCGTTGAACAATTATGTTATAATTTAAAAACGTAATAATGTGAATTTTTCCAAGAAGCTCAGTAACAGTGAATCAAGTGTTGAAAGCAGTCTTTCTTGAAGTTTTTCAAGGTGTCAGAAAAGATTTCCTTCAGTTCACATTTGAGGGTTTTGGCCACCATTTAAGAACATTTTATCTAATGTTAATATTTGTGAAATAATTAGTAAGACTTATTATTATCTTGATTCAGATTTATGAATTTCTACAATTTCAGCAGCAACTGCGCAGATACTCTAAACAACGATCTTGGCGGATGAGATTTCCTTTTATACAATGTTTTAATCCATTTCTAAAGCTAGGCACGGATCTCCTTCCACATCTTCTCTCCCTGCTTTGAATTGTTGATGTCACTCAAAAACCCATGAACATGACACACAATGATCCCCCTACATTTGCTGTAGGAGAGAAGTCTTTGTTAAAAATTTATTGAGCTTCAGAAAACTATTACGTTGCTCAATTACGAGGCCTTCCATTTTTCCTCCTATTTCCAAACCAAGCATTCTAGTTTCGTAGAACTCATCACAATATTGGGGGGAATGTCAGGCGACTCGGCAATATAGCATTTTGTCTCTTAGAAAATCAATCCCACTATTTTATAGCCACACCTCAATAAATATTTAAATAGTATTTAAACTGCCTTTAATATTTTTACCATAACAAAACAACTAAACTTTAATGTAGAATCAACAATCTTATCTTTCAAACATAATATCCTTGGACTGTAAAGGAATGACTTGGCCTTAATTTATATTCTGACAGCAAAAATATTACGAAAAAACAAAAAAAGTTAACCTAAGTAAAGGAAACCATTTCAGCAGTAAAGACACAGCAAGGCCATATTTTGCCAGAAAATGTTGGACCACTGAAATAAATTTGTTGCATGAGAAGGAAATTTGTTAAATATGAGGGAATTCTTGAAGAGGTCAAACGGAATTGACAGCTCAGACTAAGATTTTACCTCTATATTCGTTCACTATGACATAGAGATAATGAAATTATTTACTTTCCTATTACAACATAATCATTGGTCGACCCCAAAACTGCTGCAAACATCCTACTAATATTATAAATGAGAAAGTTTGGATGTATCCTACTAATATTATAAATGAGAAAGTTTGGATGTATGGATGTATGGATGTATGGATGTATGTTTGTGACAAGTGAACGCGAAAAATACTGGTCGGATTGGGCTGAAATTTGGCATGATGATAGCTCACATTCCCGATTAACATATAGGCATATTCTTATTTCAAAAATCCTTTCGGGCTCCGCCCCAGTGGCTCTGGAGTTTCCCATGTTAACCTTATGAGAAATGGAATTATTGAATCTTAACAGCTGTTTCAATTAAACAAGTTGGTTCTGTTCTATGATGTTCAATAGCATTAAAGTTACAAGGATTACCAACAGGGTGCAGCACTATTATAAATATCATTGTTTGTTGCTTCCATTCTTCAGCAATTCAGCTTTTCAAAATGGGGTTGAGTTTTAAGTGTGCCACAAGGCTCTTTTGTTACATTTTATCACTAAGTTTTCCATTCTTACCTCTGAAATTCTATAAAAATGGTTACACGAGACTGAGGTTGATATGCCTAATGAATGTCACAAAATAATGTCTACTCAAGTCCTTAAACCAAACTAATAATTACAATTAATAACAAGAACTGTATAAGCCCAATTTAATCATTTTATAATTTAAACATTGAAATATACAAATATAACAATAATCCTGAATATCTCATCTATAAATTTTAGTTAATATAACAGTGTTCCCCTCATTAAATGTTTAGTGCACAGCATCTGGTCCCCAAGTTTGACCATATTCCAACACAGCAATTTTCCGCTGTTCCCAAAATCCTCTTTGTATACTCCTGAAAGTCGAACCAGACCTTGACCACTTAGAAGAAGCAAGAATAATGTAGATAGACTTTTATGATCTCTATCTATTACCTACCCTAAGTTGTAATGGGATCAAAATGTCACAATTCAAAGTGTATTACAAGTTTTTTTCAAAAACCCTTAGGGAGAGTTTTTACTAAAATAACTTTAGGATTTATGAAAAGAAAACTTTAACCATCATTTGTTTTAGTTCTTAGGCCGATTATTGTGTTGTTTAGTTGTACAGAATATTTGATGGTATTATGTTGTTGTGTGTAATGTGTACGATAGTGTAAAAAATAGTAAGACAAAAATGACTAAATAACAATACCATAAAGGAAGATCACAGTTTGACAGAGAACAAATTATTCTTCAAATAGTTAAATAAATAAGAGAACACATACCAAAAGAGAATACAAACAGTCTGGATAGTATATTGGATTAATAACTCTTACCGTACATAAATCATAGTTCACTAGATACTCTAGGACTGATCAGATATTTTAAATTTTATTTTACAATTATCATCACAACTGAACAGAGTTGAGAGATATATGATTTTGTTGAGGAATACAAATATTTAACCCCTTTACTGCCATGCATTTTTAAAGGTATATGTCACTCACTACCATACTTTTAATTTTTTGAAGGTTGAATGATAGTTCTTAATTAGAGTGTACAGTAGTCGTACTTATCCAACTTTCAGTGTTTCCGGCTAGCCTTTAGGCACCTGCAATTTTTTATATTTTTTTAAGAGGTTGGCGGCCTCTTTTAACCTTGCATTTGCCCGTCAACATAGACTACAGATCTGTGCGTGGAAAGTATCCAGCAAAGCAAGGGGTGAGCCTGTACAGTACAAAGGTGAACTGTACTAATAAAATGTTTGCGGCAGTAACCAGGATCTGATCCCACGACATCACTGCCTTGGGCCTGAAGTCCTCTACGCTACCAACGGAGCCACCGACTCGCCGACTTTAGAATGTACTTTCTCTTTGTTTTTGAACACTTTTACTGCCCAGTTTGTAAACTCTTGTACTCTGCTAACCCTACACACCAAGTCACTACAAACAGTGTAGGAGGGTCAGGTTCGATTTTCAGTGTATCCACAAAATATATGTGTTTGGACCGCTTTCCCTAAAAGCGTTTGTGTACTTTCTCTACAATACCTCCTACAAAAATGCCACCATCGTAGAAAAAAAAAAAAACCGAGTCTTGTGACTTGGTGTTTGTTGCTTAAATTGTCAGTACCGGTATTTAAGGTACAGTGTTTAAGGTATTATACCAACCACACCTAAATTGGGTTAGGTTGCTACACCTAGGTTAGGTTAGGTTAGGATAAGATAGCCGGAAGATAACCTAAACTAACAGAAACCAATTTAGGTGTAGTCGGTATAATACCAAAGTACCATATTTAATTTTTACAGATAAAAATATTTTTACTTTATTTAGTTTTAAATTTGAGATTAAGGTTTTGAAATAAAAATTGTTATTGAGTTTGATGTCATTGAACATGTATTTTAACGTTTTTTATGCTTGGATGTTTTTTAGACATTTTTTCTTTGTTTTTGTGTTTTGTTAGACTTTTCTGCTTATTCAATGTTGTTGAGGCTGGTTTTAGTTGGATAATCGGGACTCCATATGTGTCATTCCACATACCATTAACTTTCATAAACTCAAGGTGTTATGATGATGTTATGAATACTCCAGCACAACAAGCAGTTCTCAAAGTTTTTACAAATTTGCGGGTAAGGACTTTTCCTTTGTATAAGGTGGCAATAATTTTACTTTATACTTAGGCGATCCAGAAAGTAAAGAACGTTTCGTTATGACGCCGCTAGGCACTCGCCGATCTCGTACATTTTGGTATGTGCGTACTCGGCAACTCAGTCGGCATCCAGCCGTGACAATTGGAGCATTCTAGCGCTGCCCGTTTTTTCACAATTTCAACTTAAGATGAGCGCTGCAATAAAAAATCCCGCCAGTTAAGGGGTGCGGTCAGTGATACGGTTTTTGTTGGAAAACACTTAAAAACTAAACTTCTCCTCAATTTTCACGGACTTTGTTGTTTAAAATTGTCACGCAACAAAGCGAAAGACCCGTTATCCCGATGTGTTTTTATGTGGAATCGGCGGTTTTTGCGAACCTTTTCATCAACTTTAGCGACCAGTTCCATCAGTCATAATGCTCGGACGTCCGCCCTTCGCTTCGTCATGACTCATGAGCGTCAGATCGGCCATTTTTAATCTGAATGCACCATTTTCTCAGAACTTTCAATCATTACGTTTTTTTCCTTAAACTTCATACCCTTGGCGATAAATGTCTATCGATTTTAAGTTTAATGCCAACACAAACCGTATCACTGACCGCACCCCTTAACTGGCGGGATTTTTTATTGCAGCGCTCATCTTAAGTTGAAATTGTGAAAAAACGGGCAGCGCTAGAATGCTCCAATTGTCACTGCTGGATGCCGACTGAGTTGCCGAGTACGCACATACCAAAATGTACGAGATCGGCGCGCGCCTAGCGGCGTCATAACGAAACGTTCTTTACTTTCTGGATAACCCACGTATCTAAGTTCAAACTGATATATTTTTTTGCTTACTTCTTTCACTCAAATTTTATTTAAGCAAAGAGCAATAAAAAGTATATACATAATTTTGGAGAGATGCCCCCCCAAAAAAAAAAAAAAAAAAACGAAAGCGGTGGGGCAGTGAGCAGCATGCATGGCAGTAAAGAGGTCAATCAATAACTTATTGGCAGTATTACTCACCTAAAGGCATTTCCGCACCATTCACAAACGTAAGGCTTCACATTGGTGTGGATCCTCTCGTGAATCTGAACACTCAGTTTGGTGGACATAGACTTTCCGCAATACCGACAGATCCATGTTTTCGACATTTTGTGAACCTTTTCATAGTGAGCATGGAGAGATTTTTCTTTTTCAAAAACATCATTACACTTGGAGCATTTGAAGGTCCAGTCTGTCTTTGGCTGGTGTTGTTGACAATGCTTGGCCTAGAAACAAATCACCACATAACCTTTTGACACGTGTAAATATGAAGAGTATTCTGGGTTGGGGTAGTAGGTACTCGAGTGGGCTAGCCAGGTGTTGAAATAAAACTGCACAAAAATTAACTTGCTTAGTCCTTGTAGATTAACCTTTCTTAACAAAATCCTTAACAGAAACAATACTACTTGATTAATCTAACGAAGAGACAAAATAATCTTATATTTTATAAAACCAATGTTAATTAATTGTCCAAAATATCAAAGGCCAATCTCATTAAGATTAATATTAGGAATTAAATACTGGCCAACAACCCCACCACAGAAAATCTGCAGATAAAGGGAATTTCAGTTTGTCTAATTGGATTTAACTAAAATATTTTCAATTTCATAAACAAGATATAGTATTTCCCCATTGCAATAACATTAGATCTTACGAAGACTTAGGTTTGATGCCACGGGGAAGGTAAAAAGTGTTTTTTGACCAAATATTAGTAAATAAATGATATAGTAGGCCTAGAACTAATTTACCAAGTTTGATAAAAATATACCTGTAAACAAGGAAACTACATTTTAAATTTATTCTCCATAGAAATAACATAAAATAATTAAATTTATAGTTTTTTTGAACTTTCTCCATACAGACTACAACTACGATTCAATATATTAAATTATTTGTTTTTTTCAGCTCTACATAAAAGTTTAGAAAGAAATTTCAAAATATTTTACTTTGAAGGGGTCAAAAATGGAAAAAAAATACTTTTACCGCTTAAAACCTCATCCCCTTAACCCTTTCAGTGCTAGGCCAATAATTCATATTTTATAAGACTTTTTTGTTTGCCTCTTAATTCCATTACCCGTTGTTGAATTTTAACTGTCATGCTGTCACTGTTTTATTAATTAGGCTAATTTTGAATAATAACACAATAAGAAAATATATAAGAAAGATAAATCCCGGTATTTGTAGTAAACATCAAATAAAACTTAGTTTTTGTTGTAATTTTCCTGGTTTTCCTATAAATAGTTTATGTTCTGATAGCATTATTTGAAACCGAAATCTCACAAAATCAAAAGACATATAGTTTACAATGTAATATTGAATTTAACCCTGATTTAGTTGGACGAGGTTATTGTAATATAGCAATTTTAGGGAAACTAATGTTTTGCAGCAAAGTCTCAGGAACACATTTACTACTACTAAAACTAAAAGATTGCATCTAAATAGTCCGTGACTAGCTGGTGCTGCTACCTAGTAACGCATTGAACAACTATCTGCAGCGCCATCTGTTCGCAATCGGTGGCGACAGCTTAAATACCGGGTTTTGACTCCCCAGTCTTCAAGCACAGATAGCCGAGAAGGCTAGGGCGTGTGTCACTTGGCCAGTGGCATTCGTCTGCTCGGGTTCGAATCCCGTCCTGTGTGGCAAATAATTGGTGACCTGTGTGTTTGTAGCGATATACTACAACCACTGGGGCATAGTGAGGTGTTCATAATCCTTGGTTTAGACATACACCTCGAAATCATCGGATTGGGCGAATCTTTTAGCTAAGTGGTTGGTAGTGTATCCTATGAACATGCAGGTCACCAATGGCCGTTTTGCTATTTTTTTTTAAATAACCTTCCTCTCTATATCCCTTAGGGTTTTTTTAAAACAACGATATATCGTTTCATAGCACTGAAAGGGTTAATCCGATCATGGTGGTTTGCAAACTCATTCAAGTTTACCCTACACGTTCATGCCAAATTTAATCTAAATTAGACCAAAATTCTTCTACTTGTCGCGTTCACGGACACACTCACTCACATACATATTAAAAACTAAAATTTGAATGAATATCCTTTTTGGCCTATGTGGACAACAAAATGGAAAAGTAATTAAGTTGGTCCCGGGTCTAGGTCTTACCATGCAGCCTATGGTAATAGCTTCTTCCCAATAGAGGAAATTCACTGAGATGCGTAAACCACAACAAAATATTAGTAAACATTATAAATTAAAGAAATAATTTTCCACACTTACCAAGTTTATCTGGCGCTTGTAAGCTTGTCCACATATGTAGCACTTATACCTTTTCCCAGCCGAGCTGTTACTAAATCCTTTGTCCTGAAACAAAATTACGACATATGAAATTTTAAACAGCTGTACGACGTAAGAAACAGCTGATGAAAGAAATGTTAAACACAGTATTGCTCTCATTGTTAGAAGTAGTACAGGAGAGTTCCAACTATCTAATACAGTATTATGTGTTTTACGACCCTCTCCACGGCCATCACCTAGTGTTAAATTGTGTTTTTTTAGAGACCGGGTGGGGGGGGGGCAGTTTTCCAGTCACGGACACACAAATTTTGAGGTCAAACTGTTCTAAGCTAACCTAACCTAACCAACCAAACTTGATGTAACATTTCAAAATTTGATATTCCCCAAGACTTTTCTGTTATCAAACGGAATTACTCGAATTAAATTTGCAATGATAATTATTAGGTACTTATGAAATTAGCTTTAATACATAGCATCACATTTTGCTAGGGAGGGAGTATTCCAGTTGGGGACACGGCTCCAATATTGGTTAGTTGGCAGATTTCCTGACGTCACGTGTCATCTGGGGGTGAGGTGGTTTTCCATGGGGTAGTATTTTGCATCCTTGTAATAAATCCCATATAGTATCGGATGATAGGTCTCTATTTAAGGCCATTTGAAATCTAAAATATCAATTTATTAAAAATTAAAAGGCTTTAAAAATGACTCACTAAGGAAAAACAGGATAATATTGTTATAAGTTCATAAAAACAAACGCTTGTTGTTGTCTCCAGATAGTTCCGATGATTGTTGAGGGAGCACAGCACCTCCCAAGCAGAGAGAAACAAAAACAAAATTACAATGCTAAATATTTTGAAGAGGAACAGGGGGCCACTATGGGGTAGCCAGCCGAGCTAAACAGGAATTGCGTCTAGAGGCCGCTCCAATATATATAAGAACTATAAGCTCTAAAGTAGATATATTCTAAGAGTGGCTGGCCCGAGCTGCGGGGATACCTTCAGTGCTGACAATGTCGCGTCATTAAACAAAATGGAGAGGGAAACTAAGTGTGGCCTTCCCGATCCATAGGGATGGAAAAGAGAACGATAAATACGACCACAAAGTAACAACAAACATTGAGCAGAATCATATATCACAAATCTGAGTATGTAAAGTACATAAATAACCAATATATTAAAACATGTCAGTATTATTCTGCCGCCTTAGCTCATTATTATACAAATTGTAATAGTAATTAATAATGAACAAAAGACTTACACAAGTGTGCTCTGTGGCTTCCCCATTTCCGTGGACCTTCTGCTCACAAGCCAAACAATCATTTTCTATTTTCAATCCGGAGTGAGCCTGCAAAAACATAAGACAATGTCAAAGTAAGTTTCTTTTATCTAATCAACAATAATCTGCAGAAAATAATAAAACTCTACTTTTACATCTACTATGCCTGATGCGATTTGCATCAAAAGAGTGATGTGGTTCTTTAGATGTGCTAGGTATGAAACAGTTACATATAAATTGATTTAAGAATAAACAATTTACCGTACCACTAAATTTAGTTTAGTAAAATTATCTTTTTTTTTATGCATGTAAGACTAAGAGGTTACAAATCCCGAAGATACCTACTTCAGTGGGTGTATAGGTTCTAGGTGGCTGGATTCATGTTTGAAAATAATGCACCTATCTGTGTGATTTTATTTGGAAAGATGTGCTTACTTAAAATTTTACTTTCTAGAGCAAGTATCTTTATTTGTAGATTATCATACAAATTTGATAGAAAACAAATAGAACAATTCTACAAAACCTTTTTCCCTTTCGTCATTGAAACTTACCCTCCTTATTAAACAATAGCCTACACAAATTACCTCAATGTGAATAAAACATAAACAAAAACATATTTAACACGTTCGCTGCAGCACATCGAATGGCAGGCCCAGTGCGGCACAGCCCGCAGTGTCAAACGAACCCGATTTCCGTGTGATTGGCTTTCAAGTTTCAGTCTGACAAATAGCAAAATAACATGCGGTGATGTCCTGCTTTACGACGAGAGCCGACATAGTTCGCTAAAACACCCACAGATAGCAGCACTGCTTGGAACATAGCCGGTGCCATTATGATTGTATTGCCAATTGGAGGGAGAAAGACGGGACAAAAAGTTGATTTTTAAGCTTCCCAGAGGGGAATTTTACAGGGAAATTTACTACCAACCTACACCACAACAAAAAGCAAGTCACACACTACACGCTAAGGTGGTATAGGTTCGCCTTCGACAGACACTAGAGCAAAAACAAAGATATACACAAGGCATTGCCAAGCGTTCCCGATCGGGTACAAACGCACACAACCATATGATAACTTGAATATCAAGGGATTCTGAAGACTAACATGGCAACTTTGAAAGCCTGTGGAGGGTTTAAAAAATAGGCCTATGTCCATGTATGGTCTCTTGGCTCTATTCATGCAAAGTTTCAGCTCAATTGGACCTGTAGTTTTTACCTGATTGACCACGTGACATACTTACAAACATCTTAACTTTCACATTTATAACATTAGCGAGGTTCTACTGTACTTTGTCAATGCCTACCTGCATATGCTTCATGAATGGAAGTTTCGACGTGAATTTCTTATAGCAGTGGGGACAGAAGAAGAGTTGTTTGCAAAAGTTATTGATGTGACGGTTGAGCAGACACTTGGTAGACATGGTCTTGTTGCATTGAGGACAGCTAGGCGTACTCTCACACTTATGTAGCATGTATATCTCATCCGACTCAAACAGCTCACCTACGAAAGAAGTTATAACTAGCTGGGTGAATAAGTTATAGAGGTTTATAATATAATGAATAACAGTTTGATACTTCGTCGCCGGTTCAATTCAAAGTGTGATTGTTACCAGGATTTTTAAATCCAATAAAACAAATAAAGCATAGCTTTGAGGAAAAGGAGCCGCAGTTTAATCAATCCATTATTGATATAGAGACACCCCCTCGGTGTGTATTTCAATTAAAAAATGAGTGAAGTATGTGGTTGTAGATTAGAGTGAGATGATCCGTGTAGCTTTGTTTTAGTGACTTAGATCAGCTGTTTGATTTAGTCAGTACCACTTGCTGAAAGCCGGCTGAGTCCGGTATCGAACCATCAAAAAGTTAAATAAGGTCTAAACTGCAGGGTTGTGGAATTACTAAAAATAAACTAGCTGTTGATTTGGCGGGAATCAATTCAATTTATTTATTTATTTGTGGCATAAACCAGTTTGTAGATTAAAGCTCTGATGTAAGTTTCAAGTACTAATTACAAGACTAGAAGTGTCCATCACAGATTTTCCACAAAAAAAAGCCAATAACCAAACAATTTAGAACCCTATCAGCTACATCTTAGCAACAAAGTGATAATCATCTCACTTATGTTACAGCCATAGTTTATGTTTACTATCAATGGTTAAAAAGAGGTCTATAATCCTCTTAATAAATTATTACAGAAATTAAGACACCGAGAATAGCTTTAGGATGTTCCATTGAGTGTGGTGAAAGTTCAGAGATTTGATGATTGCTGGGGTAACAGGAGAACGACTAAGCTAAAGCCTTCAACAACAAACTCACCACACAAGGAGCAGATCTTGCGAATGGTAAACTCTGTGTTTGGAGGCGCTTGAGCATTAATGTGGTTGTTTTGTATGTGTTTATCCAGTTCCTCAGCATCTGGCAGCCTAGCGTCACACAGGTCGCAACTGAAAGTCCCGTCCAGCTCTATGCTTCGAGATCCACTACAACACAAACAGGTAAATACAAAAGATCCTTTCCTTGGGCATAAACAATGTTAAACACAAAGTACTGTTTTAGCAATAACCTAACTTAATATCGCCTAATTTGAAATCAAAGTGAATTTAGAAATTAATTTACTACAAGTACAAAGAGAAAGAATATACTTGAACTTTTTAACAATTAGCAGCCTTTAAAAAAAGTTTGTCCACAGCATTTCTTATAGGTAACCGTAGTGTCTTTTCCACCACATTCTTGAATCAGAGAGGTTGAATAAAAATTAAGAGAGAACCGCAAATTTAAAATAATTAGCTGATTAGTGCTTGGTTGTGATTAAATTCAAATTACAGTAATTATAATCTCACACAATAAGACAAATACTCTGTTTTAAAAAGTGACTTGCACAAACGAATTGTGCTGGAAAGCACGGTGCAGTAGAACCAAAGATGGCTTTAAATGGTTGAAATTTGATTTTGTTTGTGTTTCTACACTTTGGTAATTTTTGTAAGAAAACAGGCCAAAACTGTGTAAAAAAAATGTAAGGTAGTGTTCTCCAAATAAGATTTAAACCTGTTTTGTCTATAGTTTACATAACTATGTATGATTAATGGGAGGTTAATAAAAACAAACTGTAGGCACCCTTTTACAATTAAAACTTACTTATTTTCTGTAGGATACTCTTCAATCCCTTCTTCGGTCTGTAAACATTTTTTACACATAAATATCAATTTTTGTACAATTTATATAATGAATTTAATTTGATAATGAAAAAAGTGAAATCGTAGTCAATCTGCAAAGGGCAAAAATTCAAATTATGGTATCTTTGATATATTTTTCTTTGGTTAAAAAAAATTATTGCAAAATAGGTGGCTATTAAGAGTGCAAATTACATCGTTGCCGCTTGAGAACTATAGATGGAAGCCATACCATTCGACTTTAAAACACAAAGTCAATTAAATTAAATGACTTTATTAAACCAGCCAGTTCTTGCCTACTACAGTGACTGTAGTTTTGTTTGGTTTAAATTGACTGATTCAAAATAAAAAATACTAATGTCACGTTTTTTAGGCACCTAAAAAATCTTTACGGTACGTTAGGTTATTCTTGAAAATTCATTGTTTAAATACCCCAAGACTTCAAAATGTAAAAAAAGCGACTGGCGTAAAAACACAAGCCAGGGAGGAAAGGAGCTCTGTGACTTAAGTAAAGCTCAGTTTGTAAACAATAAAAAACTTAAGTTCACTGTCACAGTAATCTAATCAATGTACTGATAAAAGACCACCTAATTCTATTATTTCTGGTCCTACCAGAACGGCTGGACGCTTACATAATAGGCTACTGTACAAATTGTTTGTCAGATTTAATATATTCTTCCAAAGTACGGTAAAGTTTGTAAAATAAGGTTTTCTGTAAGCTTCATTTTCCAAAAATCCAACATTGTCTGGTCCAAACCGGAAATCTACAATCAAGATACCTTTATTTTTACATCTACTGCATTCTTCAGGCGATTGAAAAAGAACTTTTCAGAAGACTGGGCTCTTTTAATGAGATCAAAACAGCTTTCAATTCCATTTAGGCATTTCCCACATACATGATGAGGCAATTCATCGTTTTGGTGGATCTGAAAAAATCATCTGATAAGTTTCTAAAAATTAACAGCCATGTATATGTGTATTCTTAAGATAATTGTTCCACTTAAAAACAAAGGCCAACACATTTACTAAATGAAAAATCAACCACTGTTTCAACTAAAGCCAAATTTACCATCATAGTAAAATACTGTGTAGTGAACCTACATGTTGTCTGTTTATGTTTACTGTAAGAAAATATTAAAAAATCACAATTAGGAAGGTGTAGAATAAAATTTTATCACATATTTAAATGCTCCACTTTAGAGGATCAAAAAAGTTCTTGTGGAAAAATCTAAATTCAACATGCTAGCGTTTTGTGGCAGGCATAGGCTCGGTACGATATGAGCGATGCTCAAGGTTTCCGACTTTTGCCAAAAAGCTGCTTGCCGCTCCAGTTCATGCTTCAGTTTTATTGTAAACCATAGTGATGTTGTAAACCTGACCTTTTCTTCTCAACATTCCATCTCAGTCTTCTCAAACTATAGTCAAAAGTAGGGATTGACATCATCCAGTCTTCAAAGAACCTATCGCCATCTTTACTAAGCTACAGTGTTGTTCTATTTCTAAATTCTACTTTTAACTAGGTTATATTAGTCCACGCCACATAAAATGTAGCTACCATCCTTACAGTTATAGGTAGAAATGAAGTGATTTTCTCCAACAAATAATCATTTTCAAAAATGTAGGTAAGTTTCCCTTTTTCATTTTGGCAGCTGCATATCCTACAAAAGTTGTCTGAAAAATAAAACAGGCACATTTTTTATTAGTATCTCAAAACTTGTACAATTGGTTGTATAATATAATAAAGTGGAAATACTTTTAAAAACAAAAACAGTAGAGAGCCATAATTAGGTCATCTAAATCTTCGGTTGTCCGACTTTGCATGCCATCCAAATTCTGCATGTTCAATCAAATACTCATGAGATCATTCAGGCTAGGCTCTATTTCTGTTTGGCAATGTAAATTTTAGCAGGCGCATCACACAAATTAATTTTTATGCCGTCAGTAACTTACTTGAAAGAATCTAAAATCCCTATAATTGATATTCTTGGATACAAAATTGATGAAAATGTAATTTTTTTTGTAGGATAGGTACAATTAAAAAAAATCCCAAGTTAAGTTAACATATTTCTGTAGTCAAGCTGAATTTTAAAATAGTGTTTTAGTAATTTATGACTCTATTATAGCTAAAACTTACCAAAACAGCCCGGTTCTGCCTTACATTCCATTATAAGGATCTGCAAGATAAAGTGAATGAATAAAAACAGAACTAACATGATTTTTTAGTTAAAATCTGATTTTTTACTTAAAATCTGATGTTTTGGTTAAAAAGTCAGACTAAAACATCAAACTAAAACCCAAAGGTTTGGACTGTTCCCTTTCAAAGAAAAAAAAAAAAACAAAAAAACAATGGCGTAAAAAAAATAAATAAAATAAAATAACAACCATGAAGGTAAGAACCAGGGTAAATAAAAATCAATAGGCCTAGGTAACTTAATCAGACTAAAACATTAGGTTAAGATAATTCAACTTAAGTTAAGGCCTATTAATGCCATTTTTGTAACATTGCCCACAGTCTACTCTTCGTAACGGTAAGTTAATTACATAATTCAATAAATCAGAATTTTGGATGATTCAAAATAAAAGCTCAGTCTGTAGAAAATCACTATTTAATATCCTATTTCAAAGTTTTAACATAATATGCAGTTTGATACACCCACTCAGTGAGTAATTTATATCAAACTCTGAGCAAAAGAGATAAGGCCAATTTGTATACCTCAGAGCTTATTTAATGGGCCAGATTTGTTATGGCCCACAATATAAGTAGCATTAATCAGTTTAAGGGTGCGCTCTACCTCAGCTTGGGCTTCAGTTGCTATGTTGCACCATTGGACAGTGCCGCGACAAGCGCTTGCAGAAGTTTCCAAGATTACTGTTTTCGAATTAACCAATAATGATAGCTACGCACTCTAAACGGTTTATAGTAGTACAAATACCAATCTATAGTTCTGCGTTTTTCAAATAACGTTTTTTCAATAAGTTAGGGCTAGTTGAAAAGACCTTTTTTCTTATCCTACAAATCAAGTTTATAAGGTGTGTATTAAAAATAAATAAAATAATGAAACGCAGAACTATAGAAAATTTTATCCTCTTTAATATGAGACTTTAACTTTGATTTTACCTTCAATGTAGCAGGTGAAAACAGTAATCTTGCAAAACCTTGCATTCGGTTGCGTGTCAGGGGTAGAGCGCACACTTAATACCCTAAATCATTAAAACCTGTATTAAGTTAGGACCTTTAGGTTTCTCCCGCCTAAACAGAATCAAAATATCATTTTGCAGGCCAAAATATCATTTTGCAGGCCAAAATATCATTTTGCAGGACAAAATATCATTTTGCAGTCCAAAACATCAATACCTATATTTATACATCCACAAGAGTTTCACTTCAGGTAACTTAAGGCCTAACTTAATAATATTTTAATCTTCCCTAAGTTCTAACTTAGGCCCGGTTCACACGAGTGACATACCTAGCTGACTAGGCTGTGACTAGGTAAGCCCGACTAATTTAGGTAGCGTTAAGTTAACACAGGATACACCGGTTCACACTAGCAATATGTCCACGGACTAGATGAAAATATCGATATCAAAACTACTCGGATCCATCACTGGTGCACAATGAGAACAAAGGGAAGAATGCGAGCTGCAGGGCGACTACTCGATCGCTCGTGTGAATGCTCCCATAGGTAAGGCTACGGTACTGCTACACCGCTAGACTGGGTAGCTGCCACGAGTGACTGGGAAGCGGGGCCCGACACCAAGCTCGAACACGGCTCGCTAGTCGTCTCCCTACGCTCCATTTGATCCTGTGGTCCGCTACCCAGTCTGGCTTAGGCCTACCTAGTCACAGCCTAGTCGGCTAGGTATGTTTCTCGTGTGAACTGGGCCTTAGGCTTACACATACTCTCTTGAAATTATTGTTAGGACCTTTACTATTACTGGACCTAGCCTAGTTTGGTTGTATTAGGCCTAAGTTAACCTCTACTTTCTAGTATTTACCTAAATGATAAAATTTAAACATGTCCTGTGGCAAACTTTGCTGGAAGGCCTTATATTTCCTTATAGGGTAAGTTAGGCCTAGCACCTTTTTTCTTATCAATTGAATTTGCAGTATCAATGTGGAATATTTAACTTCATTGTATTCAGTTGGGGCTAATTTGGCCATATAAGTTAACTTAAGCTTTAACAAAAATATGCTACCTTTGAACATTAAACTCAAAGAAACATTAAACTTAGGGTAGGATGAAAATTGAACAAAATAACCTATTGTTTTCCACGGTAAAAATATAACGTTTCTCTTAACAATTAATTAATAATAATTGTGAGTGTGACAGACAATTTATTTTTGAATGACCTTGAGAACTAAATTTGAGTTCAAGTAAAAAGGAAATGGGACCTAAAATAATACTCATGAAAAGAAAATCGTGTAACTTAATTTTGGTTTAACTTATAACCATTTTAAATTAATAAGGAAAGGAAATACCAGTAGAAAGAAATAAAGTGAAACACGTACTTCTCTTTGGTCTATGGACATGGAGCATTAGGGATTTCAGTTAAGTACTCTTTGACTATAGTACACAGAGAAACTATTTTCTAAACATTGAGACCGTAAATGTATTACTCACCAATTAATTATTGATGCTCTACGATTTTCTTTTAGAAAGTTATAACTCTGAAAGTAGATGATTAGTAAAGACACATAATAGATAGGAGTTTGCACCATAAAATCTAACTTGTCACGCAGATCCAGGGCAAATCCACCTCCGCCATTTGCAAGATGGAGACGGCAAACATACGCCGACACGGATTGCGCTTTTTCTTGCCGCCCTTTTTTTGAAGCTAACCCTCCGACCTCCGGCTCCGAGTCCGACAGTCAATTATCATTATTATCAATAATTGACAACCATAACCATTAGTCCATTAACCATATCGGTTATTTTTCTTAATGTAGAGTAGAAGTATTGCTTCCATTTAATCAATATTTTATACAATATTAACTTACTATTTTAAAATCTGGAATTGGAAACTGATATTTATAAGTGGCAAATAATTGCCACCAATATTGATTTCGGTGTAATCCGACATTAGGATAGGTAATCAATAATGAAATGAGCATGATTACATTGTAGCTTGATTAGTGAATCGAAAAAAACTGATCGTTATCGTTATCAACGTTTGACATAATAACTTACCATTGATTATATATCTTCATTCTGTTAGTCGTTAGTCTATTTTATTTTACATTCCAACGGACAGCTCCATTTTGATATTTCGTACAAATTAGTGAAATACAAACAAGACTTTCTTAAATCTAGTTATAAGTAATGTTGAGTGAAAACAAAGAAATTAGAATAATTTGATAACAACAACAAAGAGAGACGGCAACAAGATGGCAAAGAGACAGCGGTTGCAACAAAACAAGTGGAAAAAACAAAACAGTTACAACAAAACAAATCAGTAAAAGCGTTACAATGGATAACAATAATAAATTTGATTTGAGTGATAACAATAATAATTAACAAAAAATAAATTTTTGAATTCATTAACAAGAATAAATAGATTAACAAAGAAAAACTGTGTGAGTTAACAAAGAAAAAAAAAGTTACAACAAAGATAACAATGTAACGATAACAATGATAAATTGAAAAATTGAAACAAAGTAACAGTGTTGTAGACTATAAAAGACAAAAACAAAAGGAATGGACTACGTAAACATTCTTCTAATCCTTCGCTTGAATGAGGCAACACCATCCAGGAATTAGAAGTCAACACCATCAGACACGCCGTTTCCTGCTCGTTGCATGCGTGCCACAGCCCCATTTGCCTCGTAGTTCGTGCGGTGGTGTAGTCTTGCAAAGAGGTCTCTTGAACGGGTGCTCGAAGGAGTTTTGAACTGGATCTGACGCAGGATTTCAGGACAGTTAATACTACCATTTAGAATTTTATGAAGAACTGTCAGATCAGCAATAGTCCTACGATCCTCCAGAGGCTGAAGGCCAAGGACCCGGGACAGGTCTTCAACTGGAACCTAGTGATATGGAATTCCATTTCTGACCCCAACCATCCTGACGAATCTGCGTTGGATCCTCTCTAGTTCATCACAAAGGTACTTCTGATGAGGGCTCCATACAGTTGAACAGTATTCCAGGATCTGTCGCACCAATGCACAGTACAACGTTTTCAACGCAGTCGTGTCCCTAAGATGTTTAGAGAAGCGGAGGATGAAACCAAGCATTCTGTTTGCCCTTCTACAGATGGTGAGTAGGCTATGTGAGTCTCAGGGTTTAGTGTTGATGTGAAAATTACACCAAGATCCTTTATTTCCTGAACTCTGGAAAGGACTTCCCCTCGAACCCGATAATTGAAGATCAGAGGTGATGCACAGCGATGAAAAGTTATAACTTGGCATTTCAAAGTATTGAGATCCATTCGATTTTCAATGCACCAACGATCTAAGTCCTCGAGGCTCCTTTGAATTCTCAAGCAATCGTCTTGACTTGAAACAGTTGAAAAAACCTTAACATCATCAGCAAACATGAGGGAGTCAGCATGCAGGACTTCTGGTAGATCATTAACAAATAAGGAGAATAGATAAGGTCCAAGAAGAGAGCCTTGGGGCACCCCTGAGGTAGACTGAAATTCGGATGAATGTGCACCAGCAAATTTTACACATAGTAATATATGCCGTCATAGTAAACATAACTGATCTATGTTATAATCAGTTAATAATTATACCTATGGAAATTTCTCTATTTTCTCCCCGTATACATAGGCCTAGTATATGGAGAAAGTATTGTTTTCGTCAACATTTTTGAGTTTGAGTTTTGTGTGGATATCCGTTTGGGTCCCCATGCACCAAAAAAGTGGTATATGTCTGCTTCGATCTGTGTGTGTGTGTGGCCGTGTACAGAGCTACAGCTACAGACCCCACCCAATGCTGGACTTTCACCATGGACCCCACCCCCCACCAGTAGTACGATTTTGATTTTTGGCATGTGGGTACTAATAAAAGTACTAATTCATAGTATCTGGGGTGTTATGGAACAGAGTCTTATCTTATGTCCAGTTTTATGGATTAAAAATTGGGTTTTCTCATTTTTGACCTTTAAAACATAATATTTCCAAATATTTCTCTCTAAACCAGTTTGAAGAGCTTAAAAAATAACTTAGTGTATTGAAGTGCATTGAAATGTTTTTGTACAGTTATAAGTTACAAATAAATTTCCTAAAAAATTATTTTAATTTAAAATCTTCGTGTTATTATTCTTTGAGAGAATAAGTAAACCGTTGTAGTTTAAATTGCTTGCTTTTAGTTAGATTTTATGATCAAACTTGGAAAATTTTATTTATTTTATCCTAAGCTATTAAAATCCCTTAGTATAAAATAATTATATTTATATTTTATTATAAAATAATAAGTGTTATTGCATTTTGTCAGGCTATTGCTATGGCACAGCCCCCAACCTTTGACAGTAAATGCCCCAACTTTGTAAAATTTATGAACAGGAGTCATTCACCATAATTAATTTAGTTATACTGCCTCCGCTCACCCTATTAAAATACCATAAAAAAATACCCCCTATATAAAAAAGTACTTAAACAAAGTTAATAACATATTGTAGGATCTTTACTAATCATGGGCCTATAATTTATACTTTGGGTTCAATTGCCAGTCAGGCTAATGGGAGAATGTTTTAGCAAATTTCCCATACTTTGAGGGAATAAGCTATACCCTTGTAGGTCTCATGGTAAGACCTTGACCTGGGACCAATTTACTTGTTCGTTTTTGTTTTGATATCCACAGAGACCAAACACAATATCCATTCAAAATAAAGTCTATTTATGTGTGTTTGTTTGCAAAATACAACTCATTGAGTAAAAAATTATTCTATTTCAATTACGTTTGGTAGGATACAAACGTGAAATGAAAACGTGTTTATTTTAACAAGTTACCAAACCAGCATGATCAGACTAGGCCTATATGTGAACAGGGTTTTATGGGGTGATAATGAATTTTTCTCATTTTTTACCCTTGAACAACTCAAATTTCCCCACTTTACTCTAGAGCATTTTGTAGAGCTAAAAAAATCAACAATTTTAGTATATTTATGTATTATTTTACAGTTAAAGGCTGGGTAGAAAATTGTATTAAGTTGTAAATTAAAAACCCCAAGTTATTCCATGGAGAATAAGTATAAACTGTTTTTGTAGTTAGCTTGTTTATGGATATATTTGTAACACAATTCTATATGTTTCAAGTTCAATGTTGGTGATTGTGAGTTAATGTTGTTCAAAGGTTTATTGCGGACATTTTCCAACACGAATGTAAAAAACAATACACAACGTTTCGGGATCTGGAATCTGATCCCGTCCTCAGGTGAAAAAAACTTAACTAACACATTACAACTAACAATACACAAACGCCCAACCTAGGTTGGAATACACTAGGCTACAGAGGGTAGTAGTCAAAAAATATTTTTTGACTACCTACTACCCTCAAAAAATATTTTTTTACTACTAGGCCTACCCTCAAATAATATTTTTTGACTACTAAACCTAAGTACTCATTAAAATGCCTTTAAGGGACACGAAAACCGCCTGTTATGAAGAAAAGTGCCTATCATTGAAGTCAGCTGATAGTCTTTGGTAATACTGTACACTTTTCCCAAGAGTCTTCGATGGTTTACGGTATCGTAGGCAGCTGTTAAATCTACAAAAGCGACACCCGTGATCTGTTTCCTCTCAAACCCATCCTCAATGTGCTGGGTCAGGTTTAAAACTTGGCCACAACAAGACTTGCCTGATCGAAAGCCTGCCTGTTGTGGAATGATCTTTTGTTCCAGAAAATCGCCTCAGGGTAACGTCTTAGCCCCAGCTCTTTATAACATTTACACTAACGACCAACCGTTGCCAAACGCTACACGTCAGTATATATATGCCGATGGTACGGCGGTGGCGGCACAAGGTAGGAGTTTTGAAGAGGTGGAACAGAAGCTGACTATGACTCTAAATGAACTTTCCCAGTACTATGACGCAAATCACCTCAAGCCGAACCCTGCTAAGACCCAAGTTTGTGCCTTTCACCTAAACAATAGAGAAGCAGGCCGTGAGTTGAATGTGAGGTGGCGGGGAGACCGTCTTCAGCATTGTCCTACACCCAAATATCTTTGTGTCATACTGGACCGTACACTGACATTTAAGGTGCATTGTATTGCGACAAGAGGTAAAGTCTCAGCGAGGAATAATATCATCAGGAAGCTCACCAGCAGATTCTGGGGTGCTAAACCCTAATTTCCTCAGAACCTCAGCTTTAGCGCTCAGTGTGTCGGCTCCCTCCATCAATCCGACGTGATGTCGCTGCCGACGCAGAAAGGACTAAGCAAGAGACAGACTCTCGTCACCCATTACACGGCCACCAACCTGCAGAGCGACGGCTTCGGTCCAGAAAGAGCTTTTTATCACGGACACGAGTCCTGGATGGATCACTCTCAAGCAATCGGGTGGCAATGTGGGAGGCCACGTTGACTAACCCTCCCATACCAGCCAGGGAGGAACTGGCTCCTGGTGGAGGCCTTAATTACACGGTGTGGAAGACCCTAAATTGAATTAGGGTCGAGGACCAAAATGCAAGACAAACATGCAGAAATGGGGTCTCTTACCAGACGAAGAAAACATCTTGTGCGCGTGTGGTGCTGTTCAGGATCCTGGCCATCTGCTGATCTGCCCACACCTAGACCAGTCTTGCACATTAGATGATCTTTTACATGCGAATGACAAAGCCATATCGGTAGCTAATTTTTGGAAAAGCGAAGTCTGATTTCCGGACACGGAAAGTAGTAAGTACTCATTAAAATTAATGATACCTATTTAATTTGACAATTTTGAGGATATTAATATTGTATGAAAAATCCAGGCTAGTTAATGGAAATTTGAGTTTTTCCTAACTTATTACTTTTCACTCTTTTCAGTAACTTCCGAGACCCCCAAGTAAAATCAGTTACTTTTATGTTTCATTGATTTCCGTGAAAGGTAGAAACCCTATGGAAATGCATAGAGTGACATACTAACATCTTACTCAAGAACAGAGCCAACAAAAGCAACAGGTAGTTTAATGTAATACAAGTTCTTGAACCTGAGGTGGCAAAAATTGTATATAAAGTTACATGTTAACATATTCTTTCCTTCAAGGTACAGTTTGAGCTCCAACTTCAAACGTCATTCCTAGAGTCCCAAGAATTCCTTCTATAGTCCTCGCCACCCTAACTTGAGGCAGCCCAAGGCCGCACGCCGTTTATCTATTGCGGCCTTGGGCTGCCTCAAGTTAGGGTGGCGAGGACTATAGAACTCAGGTTACACGGCTTTGAGGGAGTTACTTCAGAAAGGAAATAATTATCAAAGACTTCATAAAAAGCAAGTGTAAATTTTTTATTCAACAACATAAGGCATGAGTGATTTATCGCTTGGTGTTCAGGCTACTCTGTTCATTCTCAGGCTTCTGCGACGTGGCAACAACAGTTGCTATGACTTTTCGAACTCTACGATTGATTCCCATCAATTTGCGTTTCTTCTTTTTCTTCTTTTTATCCAAAGAACTGCCGTCCATGTCATCACTCTCTAAATATGAAATAGCACTGTTAGGAAAATCATTTATTGAGTAGAATCTATATATATATAAAAGGCAAAGCCCTCACTGACTCACTGACTGACTGACTGACTGACTCACTCACTCACTCATCACTAATTCTCCCACTTCCCACTTACCTAGGAGGCTGAAATTAGGTACACTGATTCTTTAGGCATTAAATAGGAAAACTAAGTGGTTTTTATTCTGATCGGACTCTCGGGCTCCGCCCCAGTGGCTCTGGAGTTTCCCATGTTAACCTAATTAGTACTCATATTTAAATGGAATTAATGAATCTTAACAGCTGTTTCAACTAAACAAGTTGGTTCCGTTCTATGATGTTCAATAGCATTAAAGTTACAAGGATTACCAACAGAGTGCAGCACTATTATTTTTTTTTAATACTTGACAACAGCTAATTTGAAACCAAAAGGTGAGTGAGCGCAGCGAACAAACTTCAACCCGGAGGCGAGCTAGCGCAGCGAACGAGCTCCAACCGTATAGAAGAGTGAGCGTAGCGAACGAACTTCAACCAGGACGTGATTGAGCCATGCGAACGAGCTCACATATGAAGTTAAACGGGGCAAAGCCCGCGGGTACAGCTAGTAATGATATATAGAATACTAATTGGGCAGCAAGTCAATAAGGTTACTCAAGACTAAAGTCACATGACACATTTGTTAAAGCAACTTTTTAGAACCCTGTAAATAAAACCTTTTATTTTACCTTATTTAAATCAAACAACAAGGATAAAATTTCCTACATAAATACAGACTAGGGATGAGCATCGATAGGTCAAACATCGTTGTGAAAACATTGATGTTTTTGGGGTACTACCACATTGATATTTTTCAATGTATTTTCAGTTTTTCGTCTGCTTTATGTACTCTCCAGTAATGGAAAACTTTGCTATCTCAATACTTAGCCAAAAACACGGATGTTTTAACAAAAACATTGGTAACCTACCATCGATGTAAAAAACATCAAACATCGATGTAAAAAACATCAAACATGGATAGAGAAACATCGATGTTTCGAAACATCGACAATCGATGCTCATCTCTAATACAGACCCATTTGATCAACTTCAAAACTATAGGGTCATCTTGCTGAAGAACAAAGATCTTCCTTGTAATTATGTTGGATGAAAAAAATAAGTACAGTAGTTTGTTTAACAGTTCAAGTGTTTGCTTTGAAGAGTTTGCCATATCTTTTAGACGTCAAGACGTAACAATCAATGTACTTTTCACTGGTTCCTTCTTATATTGTCCTTAGTCTTTATTATATGTTTAAATTGTATATGTTTGATTGGCTACTGAAAATGATCATAAAATGTAGATACAGTGGAAATTAAAAAATAATATCAATTTACCCTTATGATAACAAGTATCTTTTTCAAATGTCCATAGTTTTTGTCACCCATAATCAAAAACAAAACTCAAAATCTACTTTGATAACAAGTCTAATTTGACAATCCCCACGAGAGACTTGCTATTGAGGCTCTATTGTACCAAACTACATACTAAAATAATAAGTTTATTTACCAGCTTCCACATAAGAATGTATTGTAGCCGTGGCAACAATACCACCTTTACGGAAGCGACTTCTTGCAGCAGGCTGCTTACTAGATTTCTTTCCTCGATTCCTAAAGCATAAATGTGATACAGTAATAGAATGGCACAAAGTAATCATTAAAACATATCAACTTTATTATTGTTTAGACCACGTTTTGAGGCCATTTCATGGATTGTAACACAGATAACGGGTTTTAAACCTAAGTGATTTGTTATATTGTAAACAGTAAGTATACTGATCGTTTTGTTATTTTGATAAAAGTGTATGTTTATGAATCCTCTAAACTAGTACAAACCTAACTGAATATTAGATAGTAAAAATATATGAGGGTCGTTTGGAAAATAACATCCTTTTAGTCCCCGTGTGTAAAATAAGTGGGGGTGTTTCTGCCATCCATGTGACAGACTGGTGGTACTGGTGTGGCTATTTAAAATCTATCTTAAATATCTTTTAGGTAAGTGATGATACAAAAAATATCAAGAATAAGCACTTTTAGGAAATTTAATGACTAATCAAACAGTACTTAAGTTGTAAAGATTGGTTAATAAACAACCAATAAGATATAACAATTTTTGCAAAAGTTATGGAGTTTGAAAGTTATGGATTCATTTGTGAAAATAAGACATACAGACTGAAAACTAGGCATCTTTGACCCATCTTTATATGATGTTTTTGTTTTTGAATTGTTTTGACCTAAGAAACAAATATACAATAGGGTTCAAGAAAGATTTGGGACACCCTGTATAGCTGGGATGTCTACTTCTCATCCAAAAGTCAATGATCAAACTCACCATGAGGTGTCGGAAGTTCTCCTTGCATCTTCTGACAGTGATAACCCTTCCCCTGTCGACAATGATTCAGATTTTCCTTCTTCATTAATTTTCATAATAAGTTTTAGATTTTGTTCAACATTTTTCTCAGGCCTAAAACATTGCAGTTGTTTATTCGTACATTGTTGGAACTCCTCAACAAAAAAGTGAACTGTTTTTCCTAGGCAAAGCATTATACAATAAAATTCTGAGTCAAATAGAGCGGTGAGCAGGATGCGCATGCGCTCCATAACCCTTCCCCCACCACTGTCATCTTAAAATGTATTGCCACTGGGTGAATTTAATACAACTAGAACTAGTGTATGTAGTGGTGTGACTCTCAGTGCTGTTGGAAACCTTTTCTCATCCCTCCCTTACTACTCACCTCTCCCATACTACTCACACCTCCCCTACTACTCATCTCTCCCATACAACTCATCCCTCCCATACTACTCATCCCTCCCCTACTACACATCCCTCCCATACAACTCATCTCTCCCATACAACTCATCCCTCCCCTACTACTCATCCCTCCCATACTACTCATCCCTCCCATACAACTCATCTCTCCCTTACAACTCATCCCTCCCATACAACTCATCCCTCCCCTACTACTCATCCCTCCCATACAATTCATCTCTCCCATACAACTCATCCCTCCCCTACTACTCATCCATCCCCTACTACTCATCCCTCCCTTACTACTCATCTCTCCCATACAACTCATCCCTCCCCTAGACTACTCTTCCCTACCCTACTACTCATCCCTCCCCTTCTACTCATGTCTCCCCCGCAACTCATGTATCCCATACTACTCATCCCTCCCATACAACTCATCCCTCCCCTACAACTCATCCCTCCCCCGCTACTCATGTCTCCTATACAACTCATCCCTCCCATACAACTCATCCCTCCATTACTACCCATCCCTACCCTACTCTCATCCCTACCCTACTACTCACCTCTCACCTACTACTCATCCCTCCCCTACTACTCATCTCTCCTCTAATACTCATCCCTTCCCTACTACTCACCTCTCCTTTACTACTCATCCCTCCCCTGCTACTCATCTCTCCCCTACTACTCACCCCTCCCCTTCTACTTATCCCTTCCCTACTACTCATCTCTCCCATACAACTCATCCCTCCCTTACATTTCATCCCTCCCCTAGACTACTCTTCCCTACCCTACTACTCATCCCTCCCCTACTACTCATCCCTCCCCTACTACTCATCCACCCCCTACTACTCATGTCTCCCATACAACTCATCCCTCCCCTCCTACTCACCTCTCCCTTACTACCCATCCCTACCCTACTCTCATCCCTACCCTACTACTCACCTCTCACCTACTACTCATCCCTCCCCTACTACTCATCTCTCCTCTAATACTCATCCCTTCCCTACTACTCACCTCTCCTTTACTACTCATCCCTCCCCTGCTACTCATCTCTCCCCTACTACTCACCCCTCCCCTTCTACTTATCCCTTCCCTACTACTCATCTCTCCCTGAAATAGGTACCAATTGACACGATCTTTAACAATAAACAATATAGTACATATTGCATTCACTACTTCAATACATTTAAATACTTAAAAACAAATGCAAGCAAATAATATTTAACTAAATTCATAGCAATTTAATTTCAACTACATAATATTTTTCTCTGCAGTTTTAAGAGTGGTATTATTACCAGTAAGTGTTTCTAAATGGCTTTTTCCTAGAACTAATACATTATCATTATACAACATATTAGTTTAGTATTAAATTTTTTTTACATAGACTTACTTCCTCGTTGTTTTTAGCTTAACTTTTTTCTTGCTACTCTGAAATGAAGGAGTACTGTCTTCTTCTTCCCCCATTTTGTGGGACTTTGGTCTTGTTTCTCTTGTTTCTATTTGTGAACTATTTTTATCTTTTTTACTATGTTTGTGTTTCTTTAAAACAGACAACTTTTGTGAACATGACCTGAAAGAGAGTATAACATTAAGTTAATAGGCATAAGTATTGAGTACTAAGCGGGGCTGGGTTACAGCATAGGTAACAAGGTGTCTAGAAAAAAATGTTGACATATTTGAACACTTTTTAAATATTAACACTATTTAAAAGGGAATGTTTACAAGCTGAAAGATTACTAGATTGTTTTACACATAGCTTTGTAGACTAGCCAAGTGTACACGTTCCACTCGCTCAATAGCTGCTATCAAAAAGAATCTGGAAAAAGTTGATCCTGCCGGCGACTTGACACATCACTAACTAACTTTTAAGTGACTAGACTTTTAACTATCCAAGTGCACCCACAGTTGATTGTGCCCACGAAAACGAGTAGGATAAGCCTTGGTGATGGCAGAGGAATTGGTTTGGTTATTAACGGGAACTTATCGAAAAGGTTGTGCAACATTAGGTTGCTTAGTTAGGCTTCAGTCATCGTTCAAGTATCATCCTGTACTTGCCTCTTTGGGGGTTAAAGATTGTACGTACAGTCTAGTGATGTGCGTATCGATACAGATATCGATACAAGGACCGGAAAATATCGATATTTCGTATCGATACGTGGGAGTGTATCGATATGCCCGTATTGATACACCTATAGCCAATATTGTATCGAATATCGTATTGTTTTTTTTATTAATATAAATCTTATTTTTAAGGTAAAAAATTGTCTTCCCAGCTTCCTTCCCTCAAATGTAGTAGGTAGTAGAAATTTGATATTTTACCCTACCATCCTCAAAAACACTGATAAAACATGTATTTTCAGCTATGTTTTGCAAATAACCTCAAAACTAGGGCCACCATTAATGGACGTGGGGACCCTCATTATCCATAATATATTATTAAATGCGTAAGTGGCATACCCACCATCATTATAAGTTATTTTTTGTATAATTAATTAATTATCCATGTGTAAAAACTAGGAAAACAATAACAAAATATTTTCTAATTTTGAGGGTATACCGGAATTCTGAGGTTATTGAGGAGTGATACAAATAAAAAGACACAGGAAAAGGCTTTTCTGAGGTAAGATCACTAAACCTATCTTATGCTTGTAAGTAACATAGTGTTTGTCTATGCAGCTTGTATATTATTTGAGATATTTACATTTTTTTCTAAAAATTATAAATAAACAAAACGATACGATATTTTATCCGATACGGGTAAAAATCGATACATGAGGATACGATACGATACACCACGTTCCGATACGTATCGATACATTGACCCGTATCACCCATCACTAGTACAGTCCTATAAATATTTGTCAGTAGGCCTAGTCCATACCTTGTTGGTGATAGAGGTAAACCTATCTGGGAAAAGGAATGAGCTGTAGGCCGTTTGAGGCATAGCCTATGGGTGAACTAGGGATAACCCCCAAGCCTAATTAATCAACCTTAGTGCAGTATGGCCAAAGGTGTTACACAAGCTAGGGTGGTGGATCGCGATCACATACATAACATGCGTACATTGTGTCGAAGACCAAATTTAAATATCACACATGTGAATCTTTACATAAAATTCCAAAGGATTTCCCTAAGTTAGGCTTCCATCTGCAGACTTTTACTGCTTTTTGGAATTTTTCATAGGAAGCCTCACTATTCTAATTCACAAACAAATTTCTCTGACCTTCAAAATGCATCAGAGTACTTTATCTATTCTTAATCTTGAGTAAAAATGATTCCACAACATCTAACTAATACTTTACCTTAGCAGAGACTCGTTAGAGCTATGAGAGCGGCCCCAGCTAAGAGGTATGTTCTTGGTACAGTCTGTACAATACTCCACACCTGTCCACACAGTCTGCTGAAGTGTGATGCTGGGCTGTAGTGTCAGTCTTGTCTGTATCTCATGACTCAGCTCACACCTGACAACAAACCATACCCAGCTGAGAGGTATGTTCTTGGTACAGTCTGTACAATACTCCACACCTGTCCACACAGTCTGCTGCAGTGTGATGCTGGGCTGTAGTGTCAGTCTTGTCTGAATCTCATGACTCAGCTCACACCTGACAACAAACCATACCCAGCTGAGAGGTATGTTCTTGGTACAGTCTGTATAAAATACTCCACACCTGTCCACACAGTCTGCTGCAGTGTGATGCTGGGCTGTAGTGTCAGTCTTGTCTGTATCTCATGACTCAGCTCACACCTGACAACAAACCATACCCAGCTGAGAGGTATGTTCTTAGTACAGTCTGTACAATACTCCACACCTGTCCACACAGTCTGCTGCAGTGTGATGCTGGGCTGTAGTGTCAGTCTTGTCTGTATCTCATGACTCAGCTCACACCTGACAACAAACCATATCCAGCTGAGAGGTATGTTCTTGGCACAGTCTGTATAATACTCCACACCTGTCCACACAGTCTGCTGCAGTGTGATGCTGGGCTGTAGTGTCAGTCTTGTCTGTATCTCATGACTCAGCTCACACCTGACAACAAACCATACCCAGCTGAGAGGTATGTTCTTGGTACAGTCTGTACAATACTCCACACCTGTCCACACAGTCTGCTGCAGTGTGATGCTGGGCTGTAGTGTCAGTCTTGTCTGTATCTCATGACTCAGCTCACACCTGACAACAAACCATACCCAGCTGAGAGGTATGTTCTTGGTACAGTCTGTACAATACTCCACACCTGTCCACACAGTCTGCTGCAGTGTGATGCTGGGCTGTAGTGTCAGTCTTGTCTGTATCTCATGACTCAGCTCACACCTGACAACAAACCATACCCAGCTGAGAGGTATGTTCTTGGTACAGTCTGTACAATACTCCACACCTGTCCACACAGTCTGCTGCAGTGTGATGCTGGGCTGTAGTGTCAGTCTTGTCTGTATCTCATGACTCAGCTCACACCTGACAACAAACCATACCCAGCTGAGAGGTATGTTCTTGGTACAGTCTGTACAATACTCCACACCTGTCCACACAGTCTGCTGCAGTGTGATGCTGGGCTGTAGTGTCAGTCTTGTCTGTATCTCATGACTCAGCTCACACCTGACAACAAACCATACCCAGCTGAGAGGTATGTTCTTGGTACAGTCTGTATAAAATACTCCACACCTGTCCACACAGTCTGCTGCAGTGTGATGCTGGGCTGTAGTGTCAGTCTTGTCTGTATCTCATGACTCAGCTCACACCTGACAACAAACCATACCCAGCTGAGAGGTATGTTCTTGGTACAGTCTGTACAATACTCCACACCTGTCCACAGCACCTTGGAAGACATAAGCAGTAGAAGACTGCAAGATCCAAGTGTATAAGAAAAAATTTGCACGCAGAGTGTGAAGACTTGGATTGCCTAGGCACATATACACTGAGTACAGGTATCTGAAGTCAAGCTAGTCTGAAGAAAAAGGATCATCTGAACAACTGTCCAGGCCTTGAGGAACTGCCATTTGTATATACATTTGTTAATAGAAATGGACATATTGTAAATAGACTTCAAAACAATAAAGGTACAATACAATTTGATTATCAGTAATTGCGAGAGTCCTAAACACCCCTGAAAAAGTTTTAATTTACAGAATAAGGCAAATGTAGGGAAAGTACCTTATAAATAAAACATTAAAGAACTGATAGAGTTTGTGTGTAGCTGTTGTTTCTGAGGTACCTATAATATTTACTGCATCATGTTGTAATGGTTACCTCAGAGCCAGAGAAGTTCTCTGAGGCTGGTGCCTTCGCTCCTTCTCAGCTCTCTCTGGACTCCACGAGTTGTCACCTTTCCTCGGCAGACTCGGAGACTCCTCAAGTTTGTCTGATAACAATAGTTTTTTACTTAATGTTGACAAAGTTGGTCTTTTATCAAAACAAAGTGTTGAGGAAAGGGTTTGGACGAACAGAAAAAGAAGGGAAAAAGGTAAATAGGAGGTCTTGTATGAAGCTCCAGACATAGTAGCCGAAGCTAAAAGTTGAAGATTGAGGTGGACCGAATATGTTATTAGAAGAACTGCTGGGGCTTTAATAAGTAAGTGTGGAGTGAAAACCCAGAAGGGAAGAGACCTCCTGGACGTCCTAAGATGGGAACTAAGGAGAGAGTTAGTGATTAAGTGACCAGGGTGGGTACCGATATCTCACCTCCCATTGAGAAATCAAGGGGAGTGCCTCAGGGGAGTTGTCTGGGGCCCATTTTGTTTTTCCTGTACACTGCAGATCTGTCCAGATATGTGAAACACTGCAATGTGCATTCATATGCTGATGATTGCAAGTTGCATTTCTCGTACAACATTCAGGCCACTGTGCAAGCTTTTGCAGGAGTGAACTCTGATATTTCAAAACATATCTAAACTTACCTTTCCCACTGTCTTTGCCTGGAGGTTTTTCTACATCACTAAGCGATTGCATTTCGTATACCTGCAAAAAGCAAAAGGCCTTTCACAGACTTATTATGCATAATATTGCAATATGAATTTGATTTTATTTTAATAAAAAGATACTTTCCATGGTCACTTGAACAATTAAATACGTATGTGTAAAACAGTTTAAAAAAATAACATTGAAAGAATTAATTAATGATGAAAATTATAAAACTTGTTGGAATTAAAATTGTTTTGATATCCTAATGAATAAATTAACATAACATTTATTACTTCCTTATCATTATAAATTGATTATTGAGGTGATGTTATGTTTATTGAATGCCAACTTACAATGTCACAAGTAAAATATAAGCATTTAATTCAAAAATTAATTTACCACAATCTTTTCATACCATAAGTAGGCTACTAAAACAGTTTTTTATAGAACTTACTTGAGCAGGGGTTACTATCAGTTCTGGAGGCATGTCTATTTTATCACAAGATTTGTAAGCACCTGAAAAATAATCTATTAAATACATTGTTATTAACGGAAAGTCAAATGAACCACATCTTTGTACAACTTAACAATTTATTTGATCAACAATACATTAACTAATACAACAACCAATTAACAATTGGCATACATTAACAATTTATTAATTTATTCAATTTTTTCACTGGTTTCAAAACAAAATATTTATAAGAATATCTAATAAAACTAAACAAATCTTATAGGTAATTTTTTGGATAGGCATTTTTAGCTTTCTTGCACATTTTTAAAATTTACAATTTCATTTATAAACTTAACGTTGTAGTAAATTCAAAGTAAAGCTTTGGAAAAAATGTTCGTCGGTTCATTATCCGTGAACTTTTGAATATTGATGGACCCATTCCTACGTTGAAGCTTAGGCTGGGTTTCCAATAGTCGAATAGAGTCACTGATGTGTGCAAGGCGCTAATGCCAACTACTGATTCAATTACACTACGCAAATCAAGAATGAGACTAACTCATTGTAAACAATAGCAAAATTTAAGTCACATCAAATTAATATATTGGTTCAAAAACTAAAGGAGGAAATTAAAACTTTTAAAGTAAAAAAACATTCTGTATAATGTCTCATTGACTATGATCATTGACTATTGGATACTGAAGTGATAACTGGCTACAGCTGTTCCATATCAGTCTTCTAAGATAGAGGTACCTTTTCCGCCAGAAGGATCCTGTTTATTTCTACGCCTCGATGACGGACTATCATCACCGGAGTCTTGCTCTGTGGTACCATCAAACACATCACTGCCTCCCGGATCTAGTAGATCCAGGTTGGCCCGAGGTATCTACACGTTCAAGTTGGTGAATATATTTGAATATTTTGTCACAAAATAATGTCATATGAAAATGAGTGGATGTTTTGAGTTTCAGTTTTGGACAAGGGAATCTTTGACTAGTTAGGCAAGAAAATAAACTCCACATAGCTTGGGAGTTTCAGATGTGATCAATTTTAAAGGGGAATGATACAATTTTTGTCAATTACGAGACGCTTAATGATCTGACATTGAAAGTATACACTAGCAGTGTAGTCAGCTTTTGAACAAATTTAATGAAATAAGACAATATAAATTTCAAGCAAATAAGATATGAACATGCTTTAAGTGCTGATGTGAGAGTAAAAAGTCCTCTCAGACTTTGTTTTGGGACAGGTTGGAGGAAATAGTGGCTTATGGTAGCAAGGATGCGTATGGTGATCTGATTAAACAACCTTATTTATAGTCTCACCTCACATTTTCGTTATTTTCAAGTAAGCATCATTGACACACATAATGAAGGACCAATAACAGACAATGCTAATAATAGCTTATTCCCTATATGGGAAATTCGCTAAAAAGAAGCTCTATATTTTCATAACTCCAATTGTATTCACATTATATGCCTGTGTTTGAAACCCTCTACAAACATCTAACCCCTTAATCACTATGGCTTTATTGTCTACAGGGGAGAGGAGAAATGAAATAGTGTGTTTTCTTCTTATGCCAAACACTACTAGACAGACAAACGGTTGGCGACCCTATACCTGTAGTATTTTTCTGGTTACAGGTGGCGACAATGATACAGCTGATCTAACCTGCCTTGAAGCATCACTCAGGTGGTCTCTTTTTGACTGAAAATAAAATTAAACATATTATTATTTATCAACCAAGGGAACAAGAGAGGACAAAAACTACCTACCTAAAATATTAAAAAAAATTACTTTCAAGTAAACCTTCAAAATGCTGATACCGTTTATTTAGGCTACTAATACCTCAAAATTGAATAAAAATAGTGTAAAAATCTATAACAATTTATTTAATCGTTAAAAATTAGATTGCCTATTACTTCATTACCTTTAGTAATGTGATGAAAACCAGCTGTTTAGCTTATAACTTAAAAATCAATTTGTAATCAAAATATTTTAATTTGCTGCATCAATATCTTTATGATTCAATAAGGTATAATCACATTTAGTTGTTTTAAGTAATTCTAAAACAAATAAAAATGATGAGGTCATTATGTGATATTGATCCAAATATAAACGTCTGTTACTGGCAGATCCCTAACTTGCAGAGTTATATTCTCACACACGTAACTCATCAATTTTAAAATTCTAACTGCACCAGTTACAAGGGAATTAGATGTCTAGTTCAATCTCAGTTCTGTGTAGATTATCTTCTGCGATTTTCCAGCTTTAACTGTGTTTTTGTGATTATCTTGTTATGTTTTAGGTAGTTTTCCTACCAGAGGACAGAATCAGTCCCCAGATACCAACATTTTGTGAAAACTTATTTAAGCTATATTCTAATAACTTATTGTAATGAAAAATGAACACAATAATTTCTTAACAACAGTTACATACCTTGGCAGACCGGTGGTGAGGCAGTACAGGGGAGGGGGGAGGTACACAGGGAGTTAGACAACAGTCCCGATCTACCCCCACTCCTGCCGCACCCTCCTCTTCACTGCAACTGCTGGTGTCTCCCTCGTCACTGCAACAAACAAATGAAGAAAACAAGGATCCTAGAGGTTGACTGGGACGGTGGCGTCATCCTGTAATCCAGAACTAGGAGATCACGAATTGTAGATATTTATAGGCATGCACTGTAGATGCGATACTCCCAGGTGTGGATTAATATCCGCACTAGTGAGTACTACGACTATCCGCAGTACTATCCTGATAATTAAACCAATTTGTTAATTACACTATTACAAGACAAAAATGTGGTTCGGATTCCACTGTAAACTGTAGGTTCTTTAGTTTCCGTTGGGTGTATGGGCCATTAATTAACAGCTGTGTCAGCCTTTGTCACTAACAAGACTACAAGATAGCACCACTCATCCTACACTCATCTCCATTCATACTTGGCTTAAAATACTTTCCATTGTATGGTCACCAATTCAGATTAAAGAATTAATTTTGTCTGCAGGAGGGTAAGGCTATGGTAAACATAACAGAATGTTAGGTTGAGCTTGGGCTACACAGGAAAGGACACGGATAGAAAACGGGCAGGAATGTGTCTGGTTACTGTTTTTTGTGTTATCAAATGTAAGCTGCTACATTAGACAGTACACAACACTTTTCGTCTCGACACTTGTGAAATTTGGGGAATACTCAAAAGAGCATTTGATTGACATTTTCTTCCAAAGGGGTTTTCCCTGAGTGTCTGTCCTTTCCTGTCTAAGGTCCTTGAGATTCACTATGTCAGGAACATTCTGGTTGCAATGTGTGTTCAGTCGGTTATTGTTCGACTCCCCTAAAAGAAATATTCCCTGGTGATTTCCTTTATGTGTCCTTTGTAGTGTAGCCCTAGTATCTGAATTTGTCAGTATCATTTCCTCTCCTTTGTATGTCTCGCCTGTTTCCTTTCCTTTCTATCTGAACCATTAATAGTTAATATAAACATGGTAATTATTTTTGTGAGGGCAAGTCAAAACCCAGCACAAAGTATTAAAAAGATACATGTGTCTTCAACACATTAACTGACAAATTGGCCACTTTTTCATAACATAAGAACCAGATTGCAGGCTGTGTGATTGTGAGACTGTGCGTGTGAAGCTGTTAATTAATGTCTACAGATATTTCAAAATACTTTCAAATACCTCGAGTAATCAGAAAGCACAATATTAGTAGGTTCATCTGCACTAGAGCCTTCCTTGACCAGACGAGTGATAATTTTAGTCCGAAGACGCTCCTGAGAACCTGAGGAAAACACAATGAACATGAAGATTCTATTTATTGACAGCTGAATAACATGTAACTATTTGTGCTGTCCCGACTAACCATTAAAATACTTATTTCTATGACATAATAATGTGTTTGTTAATCCAGCAAGTCATCAGAACTTCAAATAAATTCATAGGTTGTAAAGATTAGGAAATCTAAATGTGTAAAATAGGCTATATAAAAAACAAGCAGTTAAAATAGCCTTTTATCGAATTTCCCTATAGGGAATAAGCTACTACCGTAGGTCTCATGGTTAGACTTAGTCCCGGGACCGATTTACTTTTTCATTTTGATGTCCCTAGAAGCCAAAAATACCATCCGTTCAAATTCATATATATATGTGTGTGTCCATTAGCACGATAACTCGAGCAAAAATGATCCGATTTCGTGTAAACCTACGTTTATTTGAACGAGTTCGCAAACCAGCATGATCGGACCATGGGAACGGGGTTTTATGGGGTAAAAAATGGTTTTTCTCATTTTTGACCCTCAAAACATAAAATTTCCCAAATTTCCTCTAGACCATTTTGAAGAGCTTAAAAAACAAATAATTCAGTATATTGTAGTGTTTTTGTATGGTTATTGGTTATGGAGAAAATTGTAAACTAAAAATTCCCATGTTATTCTTATGGAGAATAATTAAACTGTTGTAGTTTGCTTGTTTATGCATATATTTGGATCAAACTTGGCCAATCTATTTATTTTATACCAAGCTATTATTATTTTATTAAAAAAAAAACACACTTTATTACCCTGTAGGCAGCAAACCTAGGTACCCGTTAAAACTAATGTTATTTGAATAGATTTAATCGAAAATCAAATCAGGCAAATGGGAATTCGTTTAGTCTGCAGGTTTGCTGCGGCGGGGGTATTTTAAATTCGGGGTTGATGCTAATATTTTATTGAATGTTTTAAGAAGCAATATCCTGTACAGCCAGTACCATTAAAATGAAATATTTATTAATTGTTATCTACGTTATTCTTGGTTTGTTGGATACTCATCACTAAATTAAAATTATACACAATAAAAAAAAAAAAAAAGGCTACCCCCGCCGCAGCAAACCTGCCGACTAAGCCAATTTCCATTTGTCTGAATTGATTTTCCATTAAACATATTTAAATAACATTAGGTTTAACGAGTACCTGGGTATGCTGCTACAAGGAAACTAATAAAGTGTATAATTTTACTAAAATATTAATAGCTTAGTATAAAATAAATAAATTAGCAAACTACAACATTTTACAATATTCTCCATAAGAATAACATGGGAATTTTAAATATATAATTTTTTTAATTTTCTCCGTTACTGATAACCGTACAAAAACATTTTAATATACTAAATGATTTGTTTTTTAAGCTCTTTAAAAAGGTCATAGACATAGACATAGACATACTTTATTTGCACAAAACATTCCATACATGTCATAACATTTAGAATAGGTGCATTGTCAAAATTAAATCCATACATAAAATATTTAACATTAAAACTTTTAACTTAAAACTAAACACTTAAAATAAAATCTAATTCTGAATTGTTGTTCTGTAAAAATCTTCAATTAAGTAAAAAGCCTTGTCAATAAGTAAATTGTCTATTGTATCTCTACATTTGGTTTTGCTTAATGACTTATAGCATGGCGGAAGCACATTGTACAAAAGAGGTCTAGAGAGAAATTGAGAAATTTTGTGTTTTGAGGGTCAAAAATGAGAAAAACCAATTTTTAACCCATAAAACCCCCGTAAAATCCCGTTCCCATGGTCCGATCTTGCTGGTTCGCGAACTCATTCAAGTTTATCCCGCCTTACACCTTTAAACCAAATTTCATCAAAATCGGACAAAAATTACTCAAGTTATCGCGTTCACGGACGTATATACATATATATATATATAAAAATCTATATATATACATATATAAAAATTTGAACAAATGGTGTTTTTGGCCTCTGGGGACATCAAAATGAAAAAGTAAATCAGTCCCGGGCCTAGGTCTTACCGTGCCACCTACGGTAATGGCTACTTCCCTATAGGGAAATTCGCTAAAAAACACAAAAAAACAAACATACCGGAATAAATTAATTGATGTCTACTGAGATACATCATACTTCTAGAAATACTTACAATAGAAATATTTGTGCATTGCAGCATGGAAATAGAGCAGGATTAATACTTTTACTAACTACGTTTTATTTATTGTTTGACTATAAATTTAATCCAATTGATGTAGCCTACTTTACTAGTGTACTGTCTGTCATTCAGTCAAACTCCACCTCTTGATTCAATACAAATTAATTATATAGTTTTACAGTTTATATAGTTAAACTACTAAAAACAATGTTATGACAACAGAAAGTACTAATCAAATGGAAGAGATGTTAACTTTTGATGAATATTTTGATTACAAAGGTATTTTAAGAGATCCGTAGAGACAAAAAACTGCCTCTTAATCAGGAATGAAATAGCTTCAGAAAAATAATGCTATAAGTTCAATAAATGATTAGTACGGTCCACAAGAGTTTGCAGTTATTTACCACGTGACTTTGAAGGAGCCAACAAGGACTGCGCGTTGTTGCCAAATCTAATAATACCAGCTGATTTGAAAATATTGTTTGGTATATTCAAATTAGTGAATGGGCGATGTTGCAAACGCTGTGCTAGTCCAATCTTGCTATTGGCTGCCACCAACTGCAGACTCTCGAGGCCCCTATTGTAAGTAATAACTTTTTGACTGCTACTTTGTATGGTCGCCATTTCATTGAAAAAGTATAAAGTATACAGAGACATTACACTGTCAAACAGTTTAATTTGACCGCATTTTCTCTGTAAAAATATTAGGATAGTAGCAGGTGTCTTCTAACACTACAAAAAAATAAAATGCTGGGAGATGTATAATACCCATAGGATAGCATAAATACTAGGTAGGCCAAATCAAGATGTTGATAAAATCCTAACCTATAAACACACACCAGAAATAACAGAAATACCAAGGAACCTTGCTAGGGTCTTCGTCGCAGAAGTCCAGCAGAGTCTCGCAGAAGGAGCGACCCATGGCCTCGTAGTCCTGGGTGGTGAAGTGAGTCGCTGACCGCCCACCTAGAGTCGACCCTCCGAACGACGCCTCCATCGTGTAGCTGTTGGCGACGCCCATCATCCAAACAACCACGCGCCCAGTGCCCTCTTTGCTGCGCTGGATACGGAACTTGCAGTTCTCAAAGGAAAACTGTGGACAAGTTAAATTTACCAAGATGAAAACATATAAAAGCAATCTCTTAAGTATGACTTTTTGAATAGTAGAGACTTGGGATGTGTATGAGTACTTAAAATCGGAATGGGGAAAAATGAAATACTTAATCTTATTTTGGGACAGATGTGTTGGGAAATATCAAAGGACGATATCCCTGCAATCGTGGAAGATATTCATGATTTTTGTCGTGACAAACCTATCTTGTGCTCTTGATATTTTTAAGGTGAGCCTTTACATTTAATAACTAATTTTAAGAGTACTGACAATTAACGAGGGCAAAAGTAGAAAATGAGAACTTGCATTAGCTTTTGAACCTAGAAAAATCTTCTATGCGACTTTGTGATAACCTTTAACTAAGGCTAGTAGTTACTATGGTATTAGATTTGCGTACTTAGTTCAGTTTTAGTGGATTTATTCTACATGAACTTAATCTATAAAACCAAGTACGTACAGCAATAATTTTGTGATTAATATTTTAGCTTTGACAAACCTTATCAGCTGCATTCTTGTGGAGCATCAGGGGAAATACTTGCTCGTGAAGACGTTTGTCGGCGAAACGTTTGTTCTCACAGCCGTAAATGAAGACATTATGTTTACGAGAGTGAGCGTGAAGATCACAGTACATGGCAATCCCACACTCTTCCATCAATCTGTATACAACAGAGGATTATGAGGTTTGTTGGATATTGTAGTAGGGACAGCAAACACATTCATGGATTGAAACACGGAGGAAGAAAATACTTGGCTTGAACAGTTTGGTATTTCAAACAAATTGCATTCTTTTTTGATCTGTTGTATCTACATTACAACAATAAAAGTAGTAGTCACTAAAATTCAGTTTTCAAAGAATTACTTTCAAAATTGGTTATTAATTTCTGTTTTGCATATGATCCCTTTACTGATGATGTACACATTCATCAACTCTAAATAAAATCTAATTTGTTCTGCTGAGTCAAACTAAAACTTTACCTTCGGATCATGAGCTTGGTGTGCCACACGGGCGGGTAAGTCTCCCGGATGACAGTCCGGTATTGCCGGTTCAGGTCCCGGCCAGTCAGTGAACACCGGTTGTTACCCACGATCACACCGTCAGGGTTCAGCATTGGCACTAGCTTGAAAATAAACTTCTCCCTAAGTTCCTGCGATTGAGAGTAAAATATCATTTGTATGGTAAAAAATTAAACATGCTCTCTCACTATAGAGCAAAAACAGTTTCGGTATGTTATGTAGACTAAATCTATGATCATTAAATAATCCTGTACTGTACTAGTCCTGTGATGAAAATGAATAGTTCACCATTAACATACAGAAATTACTCAATAACCATAACCAAATATCTTAACTAACTGAATTTTGTATTATATAAATGAGCCATGAATACCTACTTTGGCTTGCTGCGTGTCTCCAGTGAGAAAGTCCATGAAGCCTTTCATCATCCACGAGGAGGGAGTCTCGCCAGGATGTACTCTACCCGTGATTACGATGGCTTGCTTTTTCTGTGTAAAAAAATAAACATCAGAAATTAGCACATAAAATAAAACTGGTGAAATTATTTAGTTATTTAGTTATTTTCTTGCTAATGTTTTGTTTACCTTTGGTTCATCAATGGGAGAAGGGGCAGTGATGGTGAGGTAGTAGACGTTGTTACCAGCTAACGATCGGCAGAGAAGTCTCAGCTTGCTATACTCAGACTTGACCGGGTGGTTCTACATAAAATAAAAAGAAATAACAATTCACAACGAAGAATATAACATTGTGATTTAAAAAAATACTTATTCCAATTTCCTTGGCTGAAATTACCAAGAACACATTTAAGGCAATAGATGGATTAAAACAAAACTTACAACTGTTGTTGCCTCCTACAGTTAGCTATTTCTTGAAGATTTGTCCATGGGCGTGCATCTAACTTTTTTATAGGCGTGCCAGGGGTCTGGAGGGGATGGAATAACTCCTGGTTCAGAGGGGGGCCGATAAATGTTTAAAATTTAAGCAAAACATGACAAATTAATTAACAAATTTTTGCTTCGTTAATTAATTGTTTTTTTTTTGCATGGGGTTTTAAATTTGAGTTTATTAATGCTGTGACCACTGTTACCCCCAAGAGGTTAAGCCACATCCTCCTTACATAATTCCTCTAGTCATCTCTATCTCTTCTTAATTTTTCTTCCCAGTCTCCTTCGGTTTCCTCCAGAATTAACTTTGATAAAGAGTACTCTTTTCTCATGAGATGTCCTTCCCACATTCTACTAAAAAACACAGATCAACTTGATCCACCTCACCTGATCAGGTGGTGATCGCCTGTGATCTACCTCGGCTACAATGTCTGGGTCTTTAATAACTACCTCAGTTCCCATTTGTGCTTCATCTTTTATTGTCCATTCTCATACCATAGGCCTACGCTTTTCCCAATAACTTATTACCAAGTACACTAATCATCTGTACCTACTGTTTTGGATTCAGAGTCCAATTTTCTGGTCCATACAGTCTGTAGTTTTCACTGCACAATTTGAAAAAAAGTTTAAAGTGGGAGTCTTATAACAGGGGCTCAGGCCCCCCTAGCCCATTTTGACCCATGGATTTGTTTGCTATGCATGGACATTTATAAATTAAAACCCTGATAGTTATTAGTTAAAACCCACTGCAACTTTTTAATAGTACTTTTCTTTTTGTTGTTGCCTTTGTTCTTGAGTGTGAAGTTTTTGTCTTGAGTTTTCAAATCTTACTCAAGAGCACAAGCAGCAACAAAAAATGGTAATCTAATATAATTCAGGTTATTGAACATGGGATAGCAACAAATATAACTATATTTTAGCAGAGTAAAGTTATTATTTTTTGGATTTAAAGTTAACTTTTCACTACAACCCCTACTATAGGTTATTTTTTTTTTTGTTTTTTTCCTACGACGCTAGGCAAGAGCATGAGATTGTTTTTCACATTACTTCAGGCTGGTTGAAGCATTATCGCTTAGATCAAATCCATTGGTGATTTGGCAGGGTTTGAACCCGGAACCTCAGGGACCGAAGGCCCGTGCTCTAACCATTAGACCAGCTCCCCAATCATTGGTTATAGAAGCCGTACCTGCAGTTTGATGAGGTAGTCTTGCAGGTCTGTGTATGTGTAAGGGTAACACTGTGCTAGGTAGACTGTGTCATTGTCATGGGGAAACTCCAAGTTGAATGACAAAGTAAAGCTGGGATACTGGTCCTCTTCTCCATTCCTGCACAACATTTATACTAAAATACCTGAGAAAATGTTGGAACAATTCTTTCATTATGAAGTAGTTGTTATTGTGGGTATGAAGAACAGACTTAAATTTACAGTTGTTGAATCTAAATAAAAAAAAAACACCCAAAAATAACCACACATGATTGGAATATTTCATGACCAACTTTTTCAATCACATAGAAGGGAAGATTTATATGTACTAGAGGTCTCCCCATGGTCGAAAACTGACCAAACATATGTATTTTGCAACCTTTTCTATTTCCACCCCATGCTGTAAATTAAACATGTAATTAGGATTTCTTCTATTGGTTTTGATTTTCTGATTTATATTTTGTTGGTATTTAGTCACCAGCATGGCAACCCATAGGGCCCATGCTATTTTAATAATTTTAAATTAATTTTTAGCTTATTTTAATTTATAAAGGGATTCTGCACATCTACAGGCAAATATCTTTCTAACAGTAGGTATATGCATAGATTTTCCCTGCGATGCATATGAGCCGAGAAAAAAGGTTTCCAAGAAACATGCTTGTCTATCAATATATAAGATTACCTATTGAGAAGACACACACACTGTACAGGTAGGCATAGCCTACGCTTCCTATAAAAAAAAACCATTCTAACCAAGAGCCCATCATCAAGAAAACTGATCCTTAGTTGCATAGTGGAAAAGTTAAATTAGGGGTAGATGTAGAGATTGCAGTACCTCCTGAATAAACGCATACATTATGTGATTGATTACTGATTATGCCCTAAAGGCTCGCACACAGTGAAGAGATGAGACGTGATCACGATGGAGATGTATCTTGAAATCAAACTATGCAATGTCTACATCTACATAGTAGCTTCTACTGTGATTGGTGGGTTCAATGCCATAACAAACCTCCTCTTCCCATTCCATTTAGTCAATAACTCAATATATGATTAAACATCTTATCCGTTAGTAAAACAAGAACTTTACTACTGACTGTGGTTCGTTCTTGAAGTAGGTGATGTTGTCCCCACACCTGCGCCAGCCGGTGCCGTTAGCCAGAGCGTCCTTGTTGGAGTAGAGCAGAGGCTTCATCCCTACACAGTAGAGACTCTCCGCCTTGGTCAGGTTTACTATTGAAAATCTGTAAATAAAATCCAAATTATTAAATGTGGTAATTATGTGGATAGATGTGGTGAGGCTATTGTTCCTTAGATGAATTGTAAGGTCTAAAAAGTTGATGGAAGTCTCAGATGGGATTTCTCTGAGACTTCCATCAACTTTTTAGACCTTACAATTCATCTAAATGTGGTAATTGTGTTTTTTGGCACATCTACAAAAGTATTATGAGTTTGGACCGTTTTCCCTTAAAAGAGTCCAATCCAACTTTGACGTTAATAGAAATGCTAATTAATAATCTTCTTAGTACAACCTTCAATATATCCTACACCTGTCTAACTTAACAGTAATTTACAATTATGCAAATTCAGATGTGCGGTTAGTGATATCACATAGGTAGGTAATGAAAAATGATCTGTGTTAAAGATCGGGGTGTTTTCCTTTATAGCAGAGTGCTTAGAGTCTTGGACTTCATTGCGGAGGGATGGGTTGATCCCGGCATATCCACAAAAGTATGAGTGGATTGAACTAGCCTTTCCCTACTGTACTATCTCACAAAAGCATTTGATATACTTTTATATTTAATGCCACTAGGGTAGAAACTAACAAAAAGTATTTTTATTACATCACCATAATAAGATAGTCCAACACAATGATCACATGCTAGAAGACTAGGTAAGATTATAATATATGAAAAATTGCAATATTTATTTGGGACTCTAGAGTCTGTAGAAAATATGTAAACTTTGGCTTCTGTTAATTTCTCTTAAAATATTCAAAATCCTATTTAAATACAGATTAAAACAATGTTCAAGCCTAATAATTAAAACAATGTTTACATTTTTTTACAACACCTTTACGAGTGAAAATTTAAAAACGTACGTTTTCATGTCCCTGGCCTTTTACTTCGTAGATACTGGATTTGTAGTTTATTATTATGTGTTTTAATATTTTTTGGGACGGGGGCAACATGTTACACACATTTATTTGGTTTTAAATAGGTTCTAGGTATTTTTTTCGTATTTTTAAAGTCTCGAAATTCACGACCATGACGTGTCCCTAGGGTACATTTTCCAACTTTCACGCTGTTTTTAGACTAATTATTCATGCCGAAATATATAAAGCCATATTTTTATGTCATCAATGGTTATTAAACTTACAAAAAAGGAGCATATTATAATTTTATTGTCATTGCAGACTGACTACCATGACAAAATAAGTCTGTCCCTCGATTTGGCGTCACGACCATTTGGGAAAAATTTTCAACTTTGGAGCACGACAGTGGCAAGCCTGGCGTCGATGGAGTCAGTTGGTTTTAGAGACTAGTTCGGGGTGTACGTCAGGATTGTAGTGCCGGTCGTTTTGAGTTGAAAGGAGGAATTACAAGATTAATAAAGGAAAGATTGTGTTTTTTGTAATTTTGGTGTGTCCATGACCGTACGTAGCCATTCGATGAAGTAGACATGGTGTTAATTTTTGTTTATAAGATATTTCAATTGCTAGATTAACCTAGAAGTCCACTTTGTATCCTCGAACATGAGGTGCAGGGCTACCGCCAGAACAGAGCCAAATAACACGTAATTTCACGACCAAAGTTTCACGACCATCGCGGTTTTTTTCACGACCAATCCAGCCTTATGGATTATAGTGTGTTTGGTCGTGACAATAACTTTAGTATAATTGTAAATTGAACAGTTTAGTTCAATTGAAACACATAGTTTTATTATAACTAACAGTATAATTGAAGGATTGTTTGGAAAGATTTAGATTATTCCAGACAATTCACGACCGTACCGCTTGTCCCTGACCATCACGTTTATGATTTCTATCATAAAAATTTCAAAAATTAAAATATCGTCATATTTAAATGTTTTATACACAAAAGAAGCACACCTCTATACAAACATAACGATTTTTCGGGTCTCAGGTAAGTTTTTTCGGAGTAATACAAACTTAAAAAGATTTTATTGGCTTTTTTCTATTTTTTGAGTTTGTTTTATTTTTTTCTAGAAAGACCAAATATACCAAAAGCTCAGTGACCTTTTTATTGTATAATGGTCATAAAAGTAAACTAGTTTATAGCAAAACATAGTTATAAAAATAATATTAACTATTTTAAATATTCATTTAAACGTCCGTTATGGTCGTGACAGGATTTTGTGTTTTTCTACTAAAGATGCTCTTTAAAAACAAAACTACCAAAGATATTGCGTTACCATGGACATTTTATGAAACTTCAAATGTTAATGAAATAAAAAAAATAATAAAAGTTTTGAAAAAAGGTGGAAAAAATTTGCAAAGTGCTTTTCCTGAAAACGTACGTTTTTAAATTTTCACTCTTACCTATAGACGAGCCTCCTGCGAGTGTTTTCAATCCGGAAGTAGAACCATTGCATGTGTCTGTTGGTGTAAAGATCAGTTCGCAGTGACAGCTCATAATAAGTGTCTGTGATCTTCACTGCCTTGGCTAGGTTACCAGACTCAAACCTCGACTCAAATCTCAGGTCATCTTCCCTATCTGAGTTAGAAGGAAGGAAGAACCTGCTGCCCCCTACACTGGACCGACTAAACTGTCAAACAATAGAAAAGACTAATTAGCCTAAATAAAATATAGCCAATGGAACTGTTTTTTTAGACATGTCCTTCTACCAAACTAAAACTTACACGATGCTTTCTATTTCTGTATTGCATCCTGATGTTTCATTTTTTCTAACCGAAAAAAAAGAAAAAAAACAACATGGAATGAAGAGGAAAAACAACTTAATACAGTAATAATTTGTGAATTCGAGCTTGTTCAAAATTGGCAAATTAACTGATGAATGGGTTAGACAAAATAGCCTATTTGAAATGTCAATCTCAAACCAAGCTACAGAGTATCGAATTTTCTGGAAAAAGACAATTTAGGGTAAAAATAGTAATTTTAATACCCAGGTTTGCCAAAAAATTGACAATTGCACAAGCCCTACTTTTGTACACTCAAAAATCAAAGAAAATTTTTCTTACTTTGTGTATTTCTAATGAATTTATTGTAGACAGCTATGATGCTAGACTTACCAAACACAATATAGTTATTTTGTACAGAATTACATTTGCTTGAGTCTTAAAAATCTGTTTTGTAAGTATGTATGGAATATTTATGTTTGCAAAATTATCGGCACATATTTTGTTTTACTCACATAATTGACAGCGCTCATAGGGTAGTACTGGAAGACAATGGTGCCAGCCTCCTCCCCGACAGGTTTGGGCTGAATCTCTCGACCTGTCGGCTGATAATACTGCTCGGGGCATGGAGGCATCACCTCAATATGGGTGATTCGTTCCTCAAGTACCTGTTAATAAGTGGTTTAATCTTTAAACTTCTATTAAGTTAAAGTTAAGACTTTAAGTCATAAATGCTCATTAGTAACATTTAATGATAAATATATAGGCCTATGATAAATCGGGATAAAGTAACTACCGATTTGCTAAAGTTACCTAGACACCAGCGTCAATTATTTAAATAATATGTCAATCACTTTTACAGTAGCTTATAAGATCTTTTTAGAATGGTAAAGTTTAGATATCCTATATCATCTAAGTTATTGTAGTTTAGTATGGTAGGAATAAACTATATTTTGAGCTTTCTCAGAAAAAAGTAAATGTATTAGCTCCCAGCTTTAACTTGGTGGCAAGCCCTGGTTTCACTAATTTCTTCAAAGACTGGAGGTGAAAGTATAGTGTGTACCTATCATATTTTTACAAAAAAAGAAAGAACCCCATATAACTGATAAAATTATATACATGGCCTCCCTAATTGCAAAATAACAAGTCACAGATTAATATGCTACAAAAACAAAACTAACCTCAAACTTGTCTTCCAAGAGATACACTTTCAAGTGGATCTGACCACCTTCCATTTCTAATGTCCATTTCTGTTAATTTTAGCTTTGGTATAGGCCTACTGATTACTAAATTTGACTACAGTACAGAGTTTGGTGAGTGAAACTTTACCTGACACTCAGCGGGCCAACGAGCTGCTTGTTGTGGACAGTCGAGTTCCTTGGGGAGGGCAAACAAATCTCTTGGTTCTCTGAGCTTAGCTACGGGCCGCAAAGTGCGACTGTCGGTGTTAATCTCTACCTGGTTACTCTTGAGGGTGTTTTGGAGAAAACTGCTCAGGTAAGATCCTGAAACCAGAAAATGTTGTAGGTCTGTGATGTAAAACTCAGTTCATATTCATTTTTGTTCATAGGTCAATGACAAAATGAACTAAATCTATTATTGTTAGACAAAACTTTAATATCCGCTTCCATTAACTTAACAAAATAATCAATTTGACTAATAAACAAACTATTACCCCCAAGCTAACCTAAGTTATTTGTTGTGAGTCTGTGGCTCAGTCAGTAGCATCGAAGACTTAGGCCCAAGTCAGCGATGTCATGGGTTCGGGTTCTGGTCACTGACAGACTGGCTACTTTGTATCACTACAGTGTTCACCCTTTTACTGAAGGGCCTACTGTCTGACCTCTTATTTTGCTGGATGTGTTCCATGCACAAGATATGTAGTTTATGTACGGATGGGCAAATGCAAGATTAAAAGAGCCCACTACCTCTAAAAAAACCTCAGCCTAACCAAAACCCAAACTTTGTACTGTATATGCGTTGTAACTTGTATGATTATTATTATGGAACTTTGTTAGTCTTTAATGATTTATAATGATGATAGTATGAAGGAGTCTAATATCTAAGTTTTGCCATATCATCAGAGGTGAGTGTTTAATAAAAATAAAAATAGAAACTTACAGCTTAGGTTAGTATGAAATATAAAATTTAAATATATTAAATACAGTAAAACAAATTTTTATATTGGCACTTTAACTTTAGGCTATGTATATTGTTTATATCAAATTTTCATTTTCAAAACAAAGAAGCTAAAGAAAGCTACTGTATTTCTTCTTCTTCTACTTCTATTCTAGTTTGCTTTAAAAAGCTGGCTTGTTCAAGTTACCATGTAGCCACACTGTTTACCCTTATATCACGACTGTTCTATATATTTTACCCGTGCTTTCTCAAAATGCTAATTAGTTACAGTAATGATTATTTATTTCCTTTTTAATAAGCTGAGAAGCTGGTGTGGTTAGACGTTTTCTAGTTTGAATGGCTTGTATAGTTATTTAAAGTTTAAGTTTATCATTTCAGTTGGATTTCTGTTTTACAAAATAAGTAATGGTGGTCATAGCGTGCTATTTTTGTCCATTAGGAGAATTTGGACAGTTAGTGGTGATTTCCAATTTCCTTTCTTTATTTTTGTCTCATCTTATTGTAGGCTGCATGTGCACTCTGTATTGATGTGATGCTCTATGTTTATTGTTTCATGGTGTCTTCGTTCACAATTTATACAACACTGAGATTCCCGTGAACAAAAAGAAAAACAGCTCCATTCAACAATCAAAAGTTATATGTTGAGTGAGGACATAACAACTAAACTTTTGTAACATCCATCAATGATTAAAACTTGACCTTAATACGTTCAGACCATACTGTAACAAATACAGAAGACTTATTTGAGTTTTTTTTTTTTAGAATATGACCATGTGAAATGAAAGCTTTGACTTTGGATGGTATTACAGTACAAGTAGGTTTTACGTTCTATTGTAAAGTCTAAGGCTTATCTTGACGTTTGTTTAATGTCTGGCTAATGGCACTGATGTTGATTGCATGTTTTTATCCGTTTTCCTCAAATCTTTTAATACATAGTTTCGTCGGGTTTTAAATAATATAAAATTTTTGTGAATCTCAAATTCTGATAAACAGCAATTTAAACGCGCTCTACCAACAGGAACATACCCTGCCGTCTTAAAACAGTCCGTAATAGTTCCATACATTACTTTAAGTATGCCAATTCTATATATGCATGTTTATTTATCTCATTTTTGGGTATATGGTAAAATGTAAATGAAAAGTATATACCTTGAGCATGTATATCAGCTTACGACAATGGTCGACTAAGTAGATCATTCATAATTCGTAAAGCATGTCAAAACTAACGGTACCCACCGGTACAGCTCAACAGCTCACGCTCAACTGTACTGTCAAAATTTAACTGACAAGTTTATTAAAATATGATTTCCTTACATAATGGCACAGTTGAGCCATATTTAGCCTTGACGTCTGGAGGCCAAAGATATTGAACAACCCCCCTTTCACCCTTCCATTCTAAGCATTGGACTACACAAGTATAGAATAAAAGAAAAAAATACATGCGATTATTTATGTATGAAAATTATTTCAAATCGCAACATATTTTGAGATATAAAATACGTATGTTAATTAATAGTGAAATGAAGATATGAATTCATTTATCTTATACATTAAAAAAACTTTTTGCAAAACTTCATTATGACAGCTAGCTGACTATACTACTGGACCGAATTACACACGGTTAGTGCGTATGAAAGATATGTTTTCCTGTTAGTAAATGTGGGTGCAGACTGCAGAATCCCTTTATAAATTAAAATAGCCTCAAAAATAAGCACAAAAATGAATTTATAAGCCTATAAAGGATTTCCTTACTTTTTTAAGTAATGTGTAGTGAGTATTCAGTGAAAATAAGAATTTAATCCGGGAGGGCGAGAATACCGTAACAAGCAGCGGTGTAAGCATTATGTACAACAATAGGTTGACGATGAATCACATTCACAAAATAAGGAAAACTGTATAAAACATCTTTCTTTCCATTGACTAGATATAATATTTAATTTCTATAGGGCCTGGGGCCCATTTCATAATAAAGTACAAACTAATATTATTAGTAAATCAGCTGATCGCCCAATGCAAATCTAATGGAAATTACAAGTCAAGTTACAAGTTGTAACTTGTAACTTGTAGTTTATTATGAAATGGGCCCCTGAAGTAACAATTTCCTAAACAAGCTGTATAGTATAGCATCGAGTCCTCGTCTCGGCCAGGAAATGAGCGAGAGTCGAAAATACAATTTTCCTACAGTCACCCGACAAAGTTGGCTTCCTGGTACTGTTTATAGTACAGAAAGCTGCTAATTGCTGCATATTTAAACTTTGTCGTACGGTTTATACTTTGCCGTACGGTTTATACTTTGGCGCACATTAGGATTCCAACGAAACATCACAAAACAGCGTGGTTCTATTACGCACGTAATCCATGTACGCTTGGAAATAGGTTGGCAACACTTAAAGATAGTAATACATACTATGAGTAGCTGATTAACTACCATGAACTACGATTTAACCTGTCATTTCGTATGTATAGTTTCGGTATTTATGAACTTACTGGACTTTTCTTTTAAACGTTTTTAAAATATTCCTACCATCTTAATAAACAAAAAATATCTTTAAAGCATTTTTTAGGTGCGGAAACCACTTCAAATTACAAAAACATACGGAACTATTTTCTCCAGTCGCGGAGCACATTTCTTGCCGAGGAAAAATAGCTGAGTGATACGGACCAGGTACTACTTTCTCTAGGGCACCTATTTGTGTTGCCAGCTGAACCTAAAAACTTGTTGTATAGTGTTTGAAAGACTAATTATTTATGCTTTATAGTGACTGTAGGAAAAATATAATGTGTAACACGAGTGTAAAAGGCCTCACTAGTTACACAAATAAAATAACTATTCCGCCCATGCGTTGAACTATTTATCGTCGCACTGCATCAACTGCAGTTTAAGAGTATTTAAATTCGAAGTGTTGGCATTAATTCAAATTCATTAGATAAAGGGATAAAGTAAAAATCTTGGCGTCGGTTATTGCTTTATTTACTGTATTAAAAATAAATATGCGCTTATAAGCTACTACTTTATCTCTGTCATACATGACCAAAAGTAAGTAAACTAAAAAACGTGTCCTGAAAATCACTCCAAAGACTTTTTCAACACTGGTCGCATCTTTCATAGAATAACTTAAACGAGTTTATAAGGATAAAATTTATCCAAGCCGATATTTTATAGGGTAATAAGAATAAGTCCGAAACGCTCACTAGCAAAACACCCAATGATTTTTATTAACAAACTAAGAAAAAAGGTTTATTTCAGAAATTAATTCGTTTTTATGGAGATGGAATCTTGAAAACTATTCTAAACGTTTAAATCCTGCAAAATATTCGTATCCAATAAACGCAGTTTAATTTACAAAGATAAAACTTTTCCATTTCCTACGGTGCGTGTAAGAAAGCTAAACTCACTAATGCACTAAGCTGGGCGTTTATGTACAGCATCTAGATTTTTTTACACTGTAAACCATACCTGACGATATAGATCTACAGAGCACAGCGCCCTCGTTGTAGAAAAATGACATCTCTGACGCCCAAAATCACATTCGCCGTCGAAAACTTTCGCTACCTACGAAGGAAATGGGTTATTGATACAGTTTTCTTCAAAAAATTTCTACTTTTTTCTTCTGGAGTCAATATTTTTTACCATCTACAACCAAAGGTAGTCTTCTATGTACATTAGTAATAAATAAACGAAAATGGCGAAAAGGAGTATAATACAACAGTTGGAACAGTACATTCGATACTATAAAAATGTTACACTAAAAATTATTTGTTTCACTTATGTGATTGATGGTTATTTTGATGTACATGTCGAACAAACTTTGCACTCGCGGGGAAATCACAAGCGAAACTTTTCCCTCCATAAATAAAACGTTTACCCTCCAAAGCACGGGAAATGGCCAACTGCGAACTGCTGGGGCTGGGGATGTTCCAGAGATACTGGCGGGTTGAGGAGTGAGTGTTAAGTCCCGTCAGACCGCCAAGTTACTTTGACAAGTCATGCTACTTGTCGTGCGTGCCTCCCCCCCTCTCTCTCTCTCTCCCACTGAGGATCGCTGTAAACTATGCCAGAGATACTAAGAACTCTCCATCGAGCTGGGTTGACATCAATAAGTCTCGGTTTAAAATACAAATCTTCAATAAGTAGGTCAAGAATGATGTATGCATATGATTCTTTTTATTGGAATTCCTTGGCTTGGAGATTTATAAGAAGTTGCAGGACGAATTTGTGTACTTTGTTCTCATTGCGATACAGTTTAGAATGATATATTTTTGTTGGTGTGTTTGGTCTAGGTATGGTAGACAAATCCTAAAAATCTATTAAAAAGTGGGTTTGAATTCAAACAAATCCTAAGCTAAAAATTTAAAAATTTTTGAAATATCACGGCAAAAAAATAAAGAACAATTTGTGTACAGCAAACAAAACAAAACTGAATACCAAATTACTTATGTGTAAAAGATAAATATAGTCCATCCTTAAAAGGTTGAGGAAAAAACATATTATGCACCAACTACAAGTAACACCCCCAAACTTACAAAAAACCACGACCATACACAAATGAGACCCACTTCTTAAAAAGGTCCTACAATTTATCATAAAAGGTATTATCGTATACTGTACATAAAAGTTGTGGACCAGATTTAGACTTGGATGTTTGTAGAAATGCCATTTACGTGAAACCGAGCCCATCGGAAACATCAATTAGTGGTTACTTTTCTCAAAATAATTAGATAGATATTTACTCCGCTCAATAACACAAACAGACACCTGCATTGCACCCCTAGTTATATTTATAATACAGTGATACCATGAATGTGACGTGTTGAAAAATAGTCGTAAAAAAATGATATAGGCCTCTATTTTTAACTCAGAAATAATAGGTCACAATCAGTTAACAAAAGCCATAAATTACGAAACAGACATGAACACTACCTCCACTAGTATGCAGCAATGAGATGATTAAATGCAATAACTTTACCAAGAGCTTGAACAAATTTTGAAAGGTATTAAATAAAACAAAACGAAAATTAACAAAAATTTTCTAAGGAGAAGTAAAAAAGTGAGTAGGTCAGATCCTCTAGTAGTCCAGCAGATTATATTCACTACACTTGGTTTATTTCCGCAGAGTTCATTCTTTACGATGGCGTGCGTTGAAGTCATTTTGTCAATCAAGGTCATATCTAGTCATTTGCAGAAAATGTGAAACCTTGTGACTTGGGATGTAAGAATGAACTTAACTCAAATAAATTGCAAGTATGAGGGCTTTTGTGTGTTTCTATAGTAAAACTTCCGATTTTGAAATTAGGTTATTTTATGTTTAAATGTTTACATGTTGAAATATAGTCAGAGCTTGGTAGCTGAGTGAATAGTGTAAGCCTAGTCACCGGTTTGTCGTAAGAAAAATTTGAAGGTTTTCATTGGTCGTTAGGTTTGTTGTGTCCTCGATAAAACGTCCAGCTGATGTACTTAGTCAGTAACCATTGCATTTTTGACTATTGGGTTAACTTAGTTGGTATGAATTATTTTTATGTAAGAAAAGGTGGACTTGAATATTATTATCATCTCTAATCACGACAGTTGATGTAATTGATTTTAATTGACGAAAACTTCGGCAAGTCTATAGGTGTGGGCTTGTTTACCCAAGTCCAACATGTGCTAAAACCAATCCCAATATGAGTCTAAGCCAAGTCTAATATGAGTCTACATAATTGAGCTTGGGTCCCCAAGTCCCGAACAAGTCCATAATGAGACTGTTTAGTCTACTAGACTGGTTTTGAGTTCATCATTCCAAGCTTAGAGTGGGTTTGTGCGCATGAGTTTATTGTGGGTTTGGTGCACAGTTTGGTGTTGGGACTTGGGTTGGACTTGGCGAGCCAAACTCAACAAGTTAAACAACTGCCAACTTCGGTGTCCAGAACAAGTCTAAACCAAGCCTATAGACTTGTGCCCCTGAGTTTAAACCAGACTTGGGGGATTGGGCCAATGGACTTGGAACAAGTTTCCAACAAGCCCATTGTGCTGTTGGGGTAGTCTGTAACAACGCTGTCATATAATTCATTCAACACTCCTTTAAATATGCGACCTCGTATAGTTTTTGCATTGTCAGGGTTAGGCAAAAGTATGGATATCCCCTCTTACGGTTTCAATGGGTTCCACCAGAGAACCTAACTTTGCATACCTAAGGCAAGTGCACCTTTTGTCCAGTTTGAAAATTTTACTTGGTACCCCTAAATGGGGTGTTTAGGGGAGAGCGTAAAAGTTTCAATCGAGTAATACCTTATTTTAAAGGCATTTTTAGAATATCAGCTAAAACCAAATGTCTACTAATTGTCATACAGCCGTTTTTAATACATGCGTTGCGGGTCTCAAGTGGCTCTTTTACTCCCAATTACGCATAGTAGCACTAGTATTCAATCGCATGTATTGAAATGTACCGTTTGATTACAAGTATTGCCACCATCGTGTTTCCAAAACTATGAAATACCCACGAATACTAGCAAAGACTGAAATACAGTAATCCCTAGTGCCCGAAGTTGATCGTTTTTTTGTGTGTCCGCAATGTTCCTGCCATTAAATATTTGTAAACACCAGTACAATCCTTGTTAGGTGACAGTTATCCCTAGTGTCCGAAATTGTTCGCTTTTATTGTGTGTCCGCAATGTTCCTGCCATTAAAATTTGTAAACACCAGTACAATCCTTGTTAGGTGGCAGTGGTGACAGTAATCCCTAGTGTCCGAAATTGTAGGCTTTTAATGTGTGTCCAGTCCACAATGTTCCTGCCATTAAATATTTGTAAACACCAGTACAATCCTTGTTAGGTGACAGTTATCCCTAGTGTCCGAAATTGTTCGCTTTTATTGTGTGTACGCAATGTTCCTGCCATTAAAATTTGTAAACACCAGTACAATCCTTGTTAGGTGACAGTGGTGACAGTAATCCCTAGTGTCCGAAATTGTTCGCTTTTATTGTGTGTCCAGTCCACAATGTTCCTGCCATTAAATATTTGTAAACACCAGTGCAATCCTTGTTAGGTGGCAGTGGTGACAGTAATCCCTAGTGTCCGATATTGTTCGCTTTTATTGTGTGTCCAGTCCACAATGTTCCTGCCATTAAATATTTGTAAACACCAGTACAATCCTTGTTAGGTGGCAGTGGTGACGGTAATCCCTAGTGTCCGAAATTGTTCGCTTTTATTGTGTGTCCAGTCCACAATGTTCCTGCCATTAAATATTAGTAAACACCAGTGCAATCCTTGTTAGGTGGCAGTGGTGACAGTAATCCCTAGTGCCCGAAATTGTTCGCTTTTAATTTGTGTCCAGTCCACAATGTTCCTGCCATTAAATATTTGTAAACACCAGTACAATCCTTGTTAGGTGGCAGTGGTGACAGTAATCCCTAGTGTCCGAAATTGTTCGCTTTTATTGTGTGTCCAGTCCACAATGTTCCTGCCATTAAATATTAGTAAACACCAGTGCAATCCTTGTTAGGTGGCAGTGGTGACAGTAATCCCTAGTGTCCGAAATTGTTCGCTTTTAATTTGTGTCCAGTCCACAATGTTCCTGCCATTAAATATTTGTAAACACCAGTACAATCCTTGTTAGGTGGCAGTGGTGACGGTAATCCCTAGTGTCCGAAATTGTTCGCTTTTATTGTGTGTCCAGTCCACAATGTTCCTGCCATTAAATATTAGTAAACACCAGTGCAATCCTTGTTAGGTGGCAGTGGTGACGGTAATCCCTAGTGTCCGAAATTGTTCGCTTTTATTGTGTGTCCAGTCCACAATGTTCCTGCCATTAAATATTTGTAAACACCAGTACAATCCTTGTTAGGTGGCAGTGGTGACAGTAATCCCTAGTGTCCGAAATTGTTCGCTTTTATTGTGTGTCCAGTCCACAATGTTCCTGCCATTAAATATTTGTAAACACCAGTACAATCCTTGTTAGGTGGCAGTGGTGACGGTAATCCCTAGTGTCCGAAATTGTTCGCTTTTATTGTGTGTCCAGTCCACAATGTTCCTGCCATTAAATATTAGTAAACACCAGTGCAATCCTTGTTAGGTGGCAGTGGTGACAGTAATCCCTAGTGTCCGAAATTGTTCGCTTTTAATTTGTGTCCAGTCCACAATGTTCCTGCCATTAAATATTTGTAAACACCAGTGCAATCCTTGTTAGGTGGCAGTGGTGACAGTAATCCCTAGTGTCCGAAATTGTTCGCTTTTATTGTGTGTCCAGTCCACAATGTTCCTGCCATTAAATATTAGTAAACACCAGTGCAATCCTTGTTAGGTGGCAGTGGTGACAGTAATCCCTAGTGTCCGAAATTGTTCGCTTTTAATTTGTGTCCAGTCCACAATGTTCCTGCCATTAAATATTTGTAAACACCAGTGCAATCCTTGTTAGGTGGCAGTGGTGACAGTAATCCCTAGTGCCCGAAATTGTCCGCTTTTATGGTGTGCCCGGCGTCCGCAATTTTCCATGTCCCCAGTTGCCCGGACACCATTGATAAACGTAAAGGAGCTGTAGACAAGCCATAGGATTTTAATGTATTCCTGCCT